TATATATATATATATATATATATGATCAAAGCACCGAGTCTAATCTACGAAATAAAAAGGTTCCAATGCAACAAATGATAAGATTTCTCTCTGTCGTGCAAAGTAACATTGAGTTATAAACTACCACGAGACATTGATATAGGATATCTATCTTTTTACAGAGAGCTTTATAATGATCATATAATAAAGATATAAATATCTTGACACTCAAAACAAGGTAAAAAAAATTCTCGCAGATAATTCATACTGCAATATTGCTTCCACTTGAAAGATTATAATTTATAATTCTACGGTAAAAAATATTGCACTTTATCTTCGCGGCATGACAAATCAAAATACGCGCACGAGTGAACGTGATAATAACATATGTGCGTATATAATCTTTATCTTCACTCGCAATTTTCTTCGATATTTCGCCACGACGAGGCACGATGAAACGCACATGCACAACGCGAGAGTCGCACATAGAGTCCTGACGCTTTCAAAATAGAAAAAAAGCGGACTGCGCCTATAGCAATTTCAATGTAAACACTAAAAGTGATAATGCCGATAAGGAACACACGTTTCTGCACATTCACATAGCTCGAGGGTGACGTCACGCGTGCGAGAAACTTTTATTTTCCACTCGATAGAACTTGACGGGTGCGCGCAATTTTAATCCATACACGCCGCGCAGCTATCATCGAAAAATGAAACGCATAATAAGCGACGTGCCGGAGTAAATACCTGGGTCCATATCCCGTCGAGCAGCACTGCAAGGACAGAATATCATGAGAGAAAGGGCGAGAAAGAGAAAGGGGAGGGGAGCGAGAGAGAGAGAGAAACAGCTGCGTGAGAGCACGTGCCGTGCGGTACGCAACGTAATATGTACGCGAGCTTGCGTTTACACGCGGAAACCGCGCGTGACGGCGGGCGCCGAGGAGGACCCGTGCCGCGCGATTGCACGCGGACAAGCGCGACGTACTTATACCTACGTACCTTCAATCAGGGCACCGATATACGAGCGGCATTGGCAGCGATGTCCCTGCGTTCAGTGCAATCAGAGCGACTCGACGAGACTCAGGCGCATGTTGTGCGCGCTCGGCGTCGAGCGATTCGCTTGCGGCGCGGAGCGATTGGGACTGCTCGGCCCGCGGAGAGCGCGCGTCCACTCGTCAGCGCCTGGCCGTGTCGACACTCCGCTCGCCCGCCACGTCATGTCATATGTGCAGCATGCGCCCGCGGAGAGGTCTCAGTGGCGGATAGGAAAGATTCTCGAAGCCCCTCTTTAAGACGAGTGACGACGTAGTTTCCGAGAAGCGACGAGGAAGGAAGGAAGGAAGGAAATCCCAAGTGAGAGTCCGCGGAGTCTCTGTGCGGAGAAAAAGATTGTCAATTCAAAAAGGAAAAGAGTACTCGAACGTCGTAAAGTCAGTGAAGCACAGGATCGATATACGAACTTTTCAGAAGCCAATCAATTCCATGTAAAGTAAAATGCAAGGAATCGACGAAGGAATAAAGTAAAAGCGTGTGTTGAATTAAAAATGTTTGAAAATGAAAATAAAATGTGGGAGTCGATCGGTTTAACTTCTGAGGGGCTCGAATATTCGAGTGTCTGCGCTTTATAATAATTTCAGAAGCGAGAGAACGTCCGAGTTTAAAACTTTCATGCGACTAGAAATTGATTAGAAATCTCACTTTACTCCAAATGACTTTTAGTTTGTGAGGTAATAATGGTAATATATATATGTGTCGCCGGTCACCTGTGATTTATTCGATGCTCTATATATACGAGAACAGCGAGTGCTGCCATCCGAGATCCGTCGACGAACTTTCTGGCTTGCCGCTGCTGATAACAGATGACATTCGAATGCTGAGCCTCGAATTGATATGTTATTCTTTATCTTCTGTGTATACCTACGTTTTGCAAACATGAGATAAGATAAATAAACATATCCATTAGAAATATTTATAGTATAATAGACATCATTAGATATTGTTAGGCATTGCATGTGTGCGATCGAGGTTAAAAGGCTTCTCGAGTCGAGCCTCGTGTCTAATTCCAAATTTGCTGTCAGAAGAGTCTGGTTATTGACTCTCGCCGAACGAACGTGGCAATAGGCGATAGGAAGGGAGAGACAAAACTCGGACTCTCCTCTCCTCCGAATGTCACTCTTGTCGATTCCTCGGCCAATGGAAAACCAGTCTGTCGACACGCGGAGCCGTCCAGACACGACGCGTTTTCCACCCGGAAGCGAGGATCGGCTCGGTGGCGAAGGCACGCTGACGCGCCGTGCCTGGCCTTACAACAGCTGATGCGCGGTGACGTCACTAAAACAAAGCCATGCGCGCTCGGCTCGGCGGCGCGGCGCGGCGCGGCGCGGCGGAGCGCGAGAGACGCGAGCGCGAGTCACCGAGCTCGCCGTCGCACCGAGCGAGTGCGAGTCGTTCCGCGAGGCGCAGAGCGGACGCACACCGCGCACATTCGGCGTCCGCGGGCACGGCGAGGTGCGCCCTGCGCCGTCTCGGTGGTGTTTGCGAGTGTCGCTCGAGTTCGGTCCGTCGTCGTTTTCGACGTCGTTGAGCTAGAGAGAGAGAGAGAGAGAAAGAGAGAGTCCATCCCCTCGGCTGCCTCCCTCGGGATGCCGTTCATATCCAAGGACTGGCGCAGCCCGGGCGAGGAATGGGTGAAGACGGTCGAGGGCTGGGAGAAGAAGAAGATCCTTGAGTGCGCCAACAACAAAACCCTCTCGCTTCTCCTACGGTACGTCATTGTCCCTCGCGCGCTCTCTCTCTCTCTCTCTCTCTCTCTCGCTCTCTTTCTCCGCTTTCTACGTCTATACCGATCTCTCCCTCTTCCTCTCATGCTCCTTCACTCCGCCGTTCTCTCCCGTTCTTTGTTTCGTCTCGCGACTCGCGGCGCACAGCTGTTATTCCAGCGTTTACATCGATCCGACTGACAGCTCCGTTTGTTTACATGCGAGCGCGCGCGAGCTCACCGATTCCCTTTGTTTTCCGCGAAAATGCGAGATTCATTCGAAATGCGGCGAATCATCGTTCGCGGTCCCCGGGGACTTGGGAATCGAATTCTCCCTTCGTCGCGGCCGTTACGTTTATATTTGCGCGTCTCCCGACTCTTCTTCCCCGTTTTGCGACGCGTCGCGGTTTACATAACGAAACCTCTAACAGCAGAGTACAATTAATTCCACGCATCACGCGACGTCTATAAAAACAAGATAAGAATGTTGTCACTCCGATTGTCTAACTCGAATTTAATTGCCCTCGCTGCTGATGTTTTTTTTTTTTTTTTTACGAACAACCAGCTGTCATTCTCGGCCCCAATTCAGTTCACCAGCCACAATTTATGGATGATCCGATAGACCGACGGACACAGTATATAGTGTCCTTGCGCGAGTCGATTTGCTGATCCTGCGGCCGCGAGCGACCCGCGGGTGATACCATGTTATCCGGCTGGCTCGCTCACGCGAGATACAGATGATTTTCAAGTTTGCGTGCAGAGTAGCGCATAAACATTATTCAAATTTACACTGCGACACGTAATACGTGTAATGCGCAACGCGAAGTCGCACACCAGCTCGTTTCTCCTGGCTCTTCTATATTTTTTTTATGTAGAAGCAACGCCGCCGAGAATGTGCGACTCTGTACTTCTAAAACGCGAGTCGAATCCGTGATTTTTTTCATTCACTCTGTGAATCGACTCGCTTCGAGGCCGAGTGATATCAATAAAATAATATCAAGGAGCTACCTGAATGTAAAACCGTCGTTCTTTCGGCGCGACTTCGGGAAAATGCAGGAAAACGTGAGAGTGTGGAAAGGGCAGGCCCTATTGTATATCCAGTCATTTTTTTTATCGCGTTATCTCCGTTCCTCAGGCTGACGTGATTGAGGCTCGAATTGATCGCCGATGCTCCGCGCCGCGGCTCGTGGGTGATGCCATTTCTCTCTCGCCTCGTCGTGGAAGTAACTTTTTAACTCTCTCTCTCTCTCTCTGCAACGCGTTACAAATGTTATATTATTGAAATGAAAAACGCGCGAGATTCATTCGTAATTCACAGGCGTAAACCGTTTTCAATTGCGTTTCGTCCTCGAATTATAAAATTCCGCTTAATTCGAAGGCGAAACCCTGCAGGTGATCACTCGCGTTAACGAGAGTAATTAGCTGCCTGTGACATTTTCCATTTTTTTTTTTCGATAGAAAATAAAAGTGCGAAAACCTATTTCTCTTTAAGATTGCCGCGGATTGTGAAATAAAAAAAAAAGTGATTTCACAGTCACCTCGGCGTGTATCACGCGCAAAAATCACGCAACAAGGAGCTCGCTCGCATTGAAATCGATTCACGTGCGCCGAAGATTTTTATCAACGCGATCAACCTGAACCGTTTTACGAGTACGTGTTGGAACTGATCGAAAATCGCGAGAACGGTGTCTCAGTAGGCAAAAGTTGCGTGCAAAAGAGCGAGTCTATTATTTCCTTTTGTACACGGCGTTGTGTATCTCGCGAAAGCAATTCGCACTCGTCGGTTTCTTAACATTTCAGTTTCCTAAGAATTAATTGGGCGCTAATAAGAGTATTGACGTTACGGTATTGTTTTTCTCCTGGGAAAGAACGTCGATTTCGCTTGAGAGTATTCGACAATAGTACGAGTCGATGTTTCAACTTAAATTGTGTCGCATTCTTCTAACATCTTGATTTTTAAAGGAAATATAGTCTTTTTGAAATAATAGAAGAAAAAATGTATAATATATAAGATTTTATATAAATCTTACATTAATTCTTTCAGAATTAAATCGTCGCAAGTGTAAATTAAAGAATATATGTAAATATAAATATATTATAAAAACTATCTTTCTTTCTCAAGCAATTGGAAAAACGCTAGTTTTATTTACGACTATTATTAATAAACAAATTATTAACAATACAAAAATTATCGTAATTCTATTTTGTCTTCAACTTTCTAAAATTGCGTAGTTCGTAGTGATGCCACTTTTAAAAATACATCCCTGCTAAGCAGGAGATATATTGACTGCGTCTATAAAAACTTTTTCGCTAACGAGAGAAATTAAGTTAATAGATTCAAGTTCTATTTCCGTAATTTTCTAAAAATACATCGCTACTCATTTTTTTTTTCAAATATAATTACTGCAATTTCAAAGATAACTCAAGCCTACTTCGAACTTTACACCCGATTTCCGTACACGAGTTCAGAATTCATATTAAATTACAGCTATACAGCCTGTAATTAATTATCTCTGAGATCTGTAGAAGACACATCGGTGTCCTCGGGAGCGACCGCCGGTCGCGCATCGCGATCTCTTCGACCGGATATTGAGGCCCATTGTGCTCGTTGCACCAGTTGTGTTTGTGGCCGTGACAGACTTAGATAATTAGAATCGCGGCGTATATCAAGAGCCGGCGGCGCGCGCTGTCTAAGAATCGCGGCGCGGATTCTTTGTTTCCGCTCGCGGGCGCACTGCATCTCGAAGCAGCTGGTAACCGCGTAAACCCCCCCCCCCCCCTCGCGACTTATTATACCGCCTCGTAAATATCGCCGGTGTTGGCGAGCGAGCACCAGCACGTGTGTAATCTTATTGAGTGCGATACGCGATCGATCATTCTTGCTGCACCACCCGCGCGTTAATTCCGCTTGTAAACCTCCCGCGACGAGAGTGAATTACAATTGAATCGTTCGCACGAGGCAGCTGCGTTTTACAACGAGCGCAAACTCGTTGGGCCACGATTTTATTTTCGTTCAATTATGCGCGTTATACTAAATTCATATACGTTACACGGTTTTAGTGCAGCGCATTAATATTAAACGATAACTTTCCAAGGCGCCGAGATCTGACTGATTTCTAGATTGCACTTGGCCAAAAGCTTTCTCTTTTGGGGAGTCCGAAGGCGAGTCTCGGCGCTCCTTCTCGGGGAGAAGTGCAATGTAGACTCAACAGCGATTCTGTTATAATCGTCTGTTTTACGGATCCTTATGCGCAGCGCGGCAGTATGCCGATCGATTCGCAACGCGATCGCGATAATTGCTTCTTATTATTATACGCTTCCGTGACGGCTGAAAGTTTTATAAGGCAGTAAAACGCTGCAGTAATACGCGCTGCTTCTGCGCGTTATACAATGGTCCCGGCTAAGGCTGGACTACTTCTTCTCAGTTCTCACCTGAAATCCGGTGATTATTAGTTTGCCGTAAGTTCAATCGATACGCATCGACATTCGACGGCGCTTAACGCTTAATTGCAACTTAACTCCCTAACTCCGAATAACCGATAATTCGCTACATAACGCACGCGAGGCGCGAGAAGTTTGTTAATTTGCCGCGAGAACCCGCTGCAGAGATTTGCAATTACGTGCACTCTGGACATAACACTGCGACGTGAACATTCTAAACAGATGACACGAGTAATAATTCTGGAATTTAATATTACGTACGTTACATATTTATTAATCGTAATTACATTAAAATCACGATACCTAATTGCTTCGAACGTCTCTCGCATTTTAAAACAATCAAACTATATATATATATATTTAATTATATTTGCAATTTATACATAAGACTATCATCGATACGTCATTCAACTCTTTATTCTCGTGTCGCGATACCTACTTTCATTTATTACTCGCCGGATGAAATGTGCGCGAAGCAGATGCACTCTTTCGCTCGCGATGCGGATGTATGCACTTCGCGTTTATTTCCGTTAAATTGCCGCCAGACGCATGGTGAACATTTGGCATTTCTCATGTTGTGCGGAATATTTATTCTTCAAGCCCGCGTGCAATCCCGCGTGTCCCTCGCAGTTTCTAATTAACACCACGTGCGTGCATGCGAGTATGCATCCGGATTTTTTTGCGAATACAAAAGTCTTGTACACGTTATACACGTATTTATGCGCAGCACGCAGCAACACCGACAACCTGAAAAACTTTCATTAGTGAATTGCGTTGTATCGTAAATACTTTTATATACGCGAGCGATACGTTAATTCATGCACATTGAATATTCCTGGTTATTAACGATGTCGTCTATTTTTAGAATAAAATATAATAGCGCGGCATTACAGTTGCCGGGAGAATGTTGTACATAACGACCCAGTTTACAAATTTTCTTGATAATTAGTATGACGTTCACGTAATGATTATTTCGTAGATTACATTCGCAGAAACGTAAATTGCACAATGGACAAGCGGCATTGCGGTTTTCTGCTGTAAAATATACGAGAACGCGCCACGTTCCGAGATTTAATTTGACGTTCCGTTACGGTCGAGAAATCGAAAATTTCCTCTTTATATTTCCGTACATAGCTTCGAGACGTTTGGATTTTACGAAGGAATGAGACTATTGATATCGCATGTGAAACTCACACAGTGGTTGCGCAGGAGTTTCGACGGGGCGCTCGACTTTTCGTCGCGCTTTCTCGCACTCGCTCCAAAGAAATCGTCTCGCCCGGTCTTCTGCTTCCATGCGCTGGGTGAAGACGAGCTGCGGGATTAAGATTAAAATTAAAGTTAATAGAGTTAGACTTGGATTGGAAATATATTGTTGGAAGATGATAATCCAGTAGGTCATTCATATTACATTTATGATAACCGTAATATTAATTGTTCGACATTGTTGAAAAGAATGCGCTCCTCTCTCTCTCTCTCTCTCTCTCGAATTCCTAGAATAATTCAGCAATGCCGTCTGTATACCTACGAACTTCAATACGCGGATTGACTCGAACGGAATTGATCGCATTAAAAATTCAAACAATCTCTTCTGAAGATGTAAACAGAGTTAAAGTACGAATCGTGCGCTTCGACATTCGTCACCGACGAGCGTCGCGGGTCTGTTTGGATTCCCCGCGACGGTACTCGCGCCCCGCGGTTCTCGTCGACGGGATCAGGCATCCTTGAGCGGGTATCCTAGGTCGAACTCTCAAAAACGGGAAAATACTGGCGCGTGTCTTGCCGGCGCGGAAGTGGGTCGCGACCCAGCTACTAACGTGACCTGTGCCAATTCGCGATTCCCCCTCGCGCAGTATATATGTACCGTACCCCACGCAGCCTTGATAAATTCGGTTAGACGGCCTCTTCGCCATGTGGACTCGAGCGTCGAAGCTGTCGACCGCGATATTTCGCTCTCGCGAGATTCGCAGCGACGACTGCGAAACTCAGCGGGGAAATGGTATATATATATATATGCGGAACGACGAAAACGTGTCTTGCATTTCCTTTTATCTTTGCACGCTTAATGTAGAGGACCAGCTCTCTTCAATCTCGTCAACTCTACACTTATCCGTTCGTATCTTCACAAAATGAGCGTGCAAAGTATTCGAAATTAAGAGTCTCTTCAAATACGAAGAATTTCCTCCTGCGAGAGAAATCCATAAGAGACTTTTATTAAGCTCAAAGGCATTTTTATGAAAAAAAAAAATATATATATATATATATATATATATATATTTGCGACGAGATCGGAGCCAGCTTGGTTGTTGTGGATTAATATGGGGCAGCTTTTCTGCCGATACTATCACGGCCGCGCGCTGCACGTAATGATCCTGATACAGTTAGACGAAATGACTAAGGAAAGTACACAGCAGCGGGGCTGTACTTGCGTGCGGAAGGATCTGCGAAGGCCGGTGTTTTCTCCGCGTTTCCCTCGTCGCGGCTTTAACATACGGCCGATGCGCGCCCGCGCCATTATTTCGACGATTCAACCGCGTATGTACAGCCGCGTCCTACGCGCGTTTTCCCAGCGCCCGGGACGGGATTATAAACGTGGTGTGTGCGCGCACCAGCGGGGCAGGGTCGGTGAACTCGGTGGAAGTAAAAGTTTTCGTACCGGCCGATCTCTATATATTCGCGAATTAATTATTCGCGCGTTGCGAGGTACAAAGCCGCCGCCCAGTATTTCCTTCCGTGCGGGATTATCTCGTGTAAAAAAATCACCGTTATCCGTCTTTATCGTCCAGCTTACATACCAGCCTGACCCGCGAGCGTTTGTCACGGAACGAGCGTTGCATGAACTGAAACACTAAGTACGTGATAGAAACGTTATTGAAACGAGATATTGAAGCACTAAAAAAAAAAGATATATACGTCAGAAGGAAATAAACGAAGATAGCAAATGTAAAAATGTGTTATGTTTTCAACATTAAAGTGTGTATTTTATAGTGACGGGAAGAATAGATAAAATTCTTAATAAGGGCAATAATACACGTACTTTTTAATTCACGTTTTGTCCAAGCAGCATTCCGGCTTCTTGCGCTTCTTTTGCGATTTCCTCTATTCTTGGCCGATCGTTTAGTACGTATACATGTGTACACATCTCGAATATCTCGTTTCACGACAGTCCTCGAAAACAGTTGTTTTTCACATCCTGTTGAAATAACAGAGAATTTATCAGGCAGTCAACAACGGAGCTATATCCGATCCCAAATTCGAGCGCTTCTTGTATGTACAACACGTACACGAATACACTCTCTATACAGCTGTTTCGTTGCCGAAATTCCGTCACCGAAATTCCCCGCGTCGCTATACAAGCCTATAAACTTTCGACGTCGCGTCGCATTTCCCAAAACTTACCTCCGCTTTTTTCGGAATCTTTATTGGGACGTATCCAACTCGACCGTTTTGTATCCGTAAAAGTGAAACGGCGCGGCGATACCTCGAGTAATGCATAGGATGCATTTGCGTTATACTGCACACATCGGTCCCCGTGTATTGCGGAGAGCTAAAATAACCGATGTCCTTCTGCGGCTAGCTAGCGGAGCTAGAAAGAGAAATAAGAGAGCGAAGAGACCGTAGAACTTTCCAAGCCATATTTATCTGCTATCAACGTATTGTTACTTATAACTTCGAAACTGTGTCACTCACGGCTAATAATTTCTGCGCCGCTGCGAAAATGTTATCGAGATAACATTTAACGGCCAGAGCAAAAGTTGTTTCATCATATTGACTCGCGGAACAATGTGAAATCTCCGAGATTATAAATTAAATATAACGCCCAAAATGCAAAGTTTCACGTTTTCAATTATTCATACGCGACTCGTAAATTATTAATGTTTCTTGTTTTTTAATAGCTCAATCAACATCTCTGCTCCGATCGCTTCTATTGTTGAAACAAAACGAGCGATTCTCGACAACGTGAATACAACGTAATATGACGTCAAGCAGTATATTCCGGTATATACGATACGTTCGTCCTTCTACCCTCAAGCCATAGAACATTGACGTGACATTGATCGTTCCAGTTGCGGAGTTATCGATATTGTACAACCGGGGGATTTTCCGCATTTACGGCTCTTTATTCGTATATGCATGCATATTATACATACGCGCATGTCTGCAGTTGATCTCTCCCGTGTGGTGCGAGCGCTACAAGTAGTTACATAATCCTATGGACTAATGGTATACGAGATCTCTTCCTCTCACTCTCTCTCTCTCTTTCTCCTGCAACGTATGAGTGTATTAATGCAAGGTCCCCTATATGGGCGCGATTCGACGACCTTAATCCGGCCGAGCCCGCGTGCGAAAGGGCAAGGGCATGTGCATCATCCGATCGATGTATTAAAATCGAAAACGCAGCTCTCCCGCATCTCCAGTCCCGCTCATGCGGAAAAATCACAAATACAGTCCCCGCACGCGAGGCTGTTGCATGTGCGAATATATGCACGAGTTAATGCACAAGGTCGTCGTTGCGTCCCTATAATAGAACGTTCGTCGCCGTGACTGGCGTAGACAGAATCATAAGTGCGACGAAAAATGCATTTACACGTTAAAGAATAAGAAGAGAATTATCTTAGCATATTTTAAGACGCTCAATTCGAAGGTCTATAAGAATTTGAAACGACGATAAACTTTCTTCAGATTTTGCAATAATATTTGCTGAAAGTTCTTCATGTAAAAAAAAGGATCAAATTCTCGCTCGCATTGCATTTGTTTCGAGAAATATTTCCTAACAAAAATTGTCCGAGAAATTCTACTATGAATGATAGAGAGTATATTCAAGAACGAAGAAATTTGGCATCTCGCGATTCTATATATTCAAATCCGAACGTAACGTTGTGCCAGATTCTCGAATCTCTGCAGCAATTGCAAATCGAGGAATTTCAAAGCTTTGGAAGAAATCGAGTTTCTCGATGCGGTTTTTATAGCTGAAAGCATGAATAATCACCCGGGGAAGAAATCGGAACGCATTATGTGCAGCGCGGAGTTCGATTCCTATCTTCATATCGCGGACTCCGTATTTTAAACGGGCTTATGAAGGACCGAATTTAATTTAAGTATCGATCCGCGCGAGTGCTTTGAAACTTCAAAATTAGCGAGGATGGCCGCGATTCGCGTTCCCGAAAGAATATCTCGCGCGAATTAATCTCCCGACGACGTTTCGCAAGCTGAGAATAAATGCACGTTGACGCATATGTTTCTCTTTCTTTATATGAATAGAACGCACTGTAATCTGGTGACAGGTTAAATAACCGATGTCTATTAAGAGGATATAGAGTCATCCTCTGCGGTAACGCGCGGCGTCTAATGCGATTTGCCGTGCAATCCCGATTTACATTTTTCCGCTTCCTCGGACTTCTCATGCGCGTCGCGACTGAAATAAGAACGTTATTGTAGTCGATGAAAGTGGCCGTTAATGTCCACTTACAAGGTGTGTCCACGTTAATTATGATCAGCGTGTGTTATAAAGCAATTACCGTGGACGACGGCGGTGAAGGTACCACTTTCGAGACGGATTCGTCGTGGCCTGTTTAAAATGATTATACCGTAGAGATGAACACCTACGCGTGGTTTCCTTCTTTTTCGTTAAATGCCAACACGATGATAATATCAATAACTCACAGTCACTTAGTAACGTATTTACTTTTTTGGACCGCGTTATATAGATATAAATTAAAGGTTCATTATTTTTCTTATTGAAAACTATATTACCGTAATATTTGGATAAATAAATAGAAAATATAGAATTTCTTGTGAGAAATTAATATTATTAAGAATTGATCATTCTTATCCAAGTATCTAGACTTGAACTAATAATTAAACTAATAATTATTATTGATATTATCTTATTGTAATTATTAGAAAAGCTTTTAAAAAAAATTACAATATGATATTCTTACTTTTACTTTAAATACTTGCGAAACAAATGCTGTACGAGGGACTATAAGGAAATGAATATAAGTCCTGTGAAGTTGTTTCTCGAACATTACCTGCCACGATAGTCTTTCCCATATAGTTCGGATCGAAGCTAACTCCGTCGAGACGTAGCAGCCGCGAGTTCGCTGAAACCGGTCGCGGTATATTGTGCCATAATTGGGATCCGTATATTAGTGCCACCAGCCTCTCGCAGGAAGTATCTTCTTCGCACTTCTATACAACATGAGATAAATCATAAGTTTATAAGATAAAATTATTCGACAAATAAATAAGATAATTCAAATTTTCGTTATATGTTACATTTTGTAATTGAAATGTGAAAACAAGTGAACGGAGCAAAATACTGCGTACGACATTTGTACTTTATTTTTTTTTTTTATTGAAAAAATTCAACGTTTGCGTTACTTCTCGTCTTAATAAGTTCTTTGAATCTCAACTAATTTTGACGTGTCACGTTTAAAGAGCGTACCTTTTCTTATAGTGGCGAAAAAGATGCCGGCGACAAGAAGGAGAAGGACAAGAAGAAAGGTGAGTAGCGCAGTCCATATTGAAACTTGAGGACTTATCGATTCCAGTCGACGTGAGGCCTTCGTTAACTATAATTATAGATCCGAGTTTATTATAAACTTTTTTCTCTTCTTTGTGTCATTCTGTCGCGGTATTAATGATTTGAGTCGGCTGTCAAGGCTGTTCCTCGAATAATATATCGAGAAAATAATATATCAAGTAAATGTTTTTTTTTTTTAATCTCTTCGTCGAGCAATGAGAGCAGCGTTTTCGATCGAAACAATACCCGTGAAGATCTTTGGAGTATTTTTCTCAAATTTCAGAAAACGCCGTCCAACCACACTGTCACATCACGCTGAAGTGTACACGCGAGGTGAGTGACTCCTTCCGGCCCGGTCTTAATTTAGACACAACCTTGTGCAAGAGGAAAGAGACTGGGATTTGAGCCCGATAGAGACAGGTTGAGTGCGGCGAGTAAGAAAAAAAAAGCCAAAAGATACCAGTAACAAAACTGTCGACGGCTCTTCTGTATCTCCTATACTTAGAGCGTCGTGTAGCGAGAGCGAGGGATCATTATCCGCGTTCCTAAATTTACAGATCGCCGGCTTCAATGGGCTGAGCGACGCCCTGAAGAGGCTGGATTTCCTATCCGCGGTGCACGACTGCCGTCGATTCAATTACATAGTCCGTCTCCTGGATCTCCTGGTCAGTCACAGGATGGGCGGCCTCAGCGGTTGCGCTCAGAGAGTGCTTTTCAATATGCTCGAGGAAGTCGCTCTGGAAGGTAAAAGTGTCTTATCAGTTTTTATGGAAATAAATTCTTAAATAAATCCGTCATGAAATTCACCTAGCGATTTCACGATATTTCTCTGCTCGTTGTTAATATCTCTTCTCCCGAAGGAAGAGTGAGACGAATGTTATTCACGATGTACTGACCATTGTTTCAGTGTCACTGTCGCAACAGCAGACGGGAAGACTCCGACGTCTTATAGAGAGAGTTCGGGCCTTCAGCGCTGGCTGCTGCTGGGGCGGTAGACCTTTGGGCTCCGTTATCCTCTGGGAGAAGCATAAAGCGGCACTGGAGAGAATCCTGCAGATCGCCTCGTCAATCACCATCACCCAGGTAACGTGAAAAAAAAAATTACATTAAGGTAATTAGTGATTGCGGAGAAAACCTCGACGTGACGGGGGCTGATCGATAACGAACGGAGTCGTTGCAGCCGGACGAGGAGCAGCAGCCCCAGTGGTCGGACCTGCCGCCCGAGTGCCGTCGGGAGATCCTCTTACGCCTGAGCGATCCTCGGGACATCGAGGCCTCGTCCGAGGCGTGCGAACATCTTGCCGTTCTGGCGCAGGAGCAGCGAATCTGGCGCGAGCTCGCCCAGTATCATTTCACGCCGCAGCAAATTGCCACCACCAGACAGAATAATCCGGGGAAAGACTGGAAAGCCATATTCACCATCGCTCGGAGGTACGGCTTGTTCTCTTGTGCGCGATATCTCGGATCTCGGAGAGTATGCCGCGAACGCACCATCTCTCTAAATTTTTTGGAGTGAATCTCACTCCAAAAGGTTGAAAATACTGCCACTCAAGTGGCCGAGTGAAACAGTATTTTCAATCTTTTAGAGCGAAACTCCAAAAGAGTCAAAAATTCACTCCAGAGAATTTAGAGAGATTCTTGGAAACTTGGCGTTTATCATTTGTACCTCTCTTATATTTTGTCTGTCTATTCTCCGTCCACCAGGTCGTTCGGATTACGGGAGGAGTACGCCGAAATGATACAGCTGTGCCGCAATTGCCGTTGCCTGTTCTGGCGGTCCCTGGGCCATCCGTGCATCGCCGATCAGGACCCGGCGTTTCAGGAGAAGCTGGCGGACGTCGACCAGGCGTCGCTCCACGTGCCGATCCCTCCGCAGACCTTCCTGAAATTTTTCTCGCTGTGAAAGCTTTCGCGACGCGTACCGCGTATCGTGAGAGCGCGCGTAAGGATGCGTGGTGTGTAAACGTGCGGGGGGAAAAAAGAGCGGCGACGCGTAACCGCCGCTGTTGCGAATGATTGTTTTAATCTCGACGAATGCTGCGTGCGTGTGGGGAGAATATAATAGAATTTAAAGATGTTGCCGCTGCACTTAGAGAGACTTTAAAGGCGTTACCTTCTGAAAAGTATATACATATATATATATATTTAACTCGAGATACATTCTCTCTCTGTTCTCTCAATATACCGTATGAACCTGAAAGGGATTAGATATCGGTGCTTAGGGATACGTCCTTTGTGGAAATTCGACGCCGACCTTAAAACGAATATTCCGGAGGCCTACTCATATCCGACGAAACGAGCTTGAAATACACTTAAGAGCCTCAAAAGCCGCCCAGGAAAACACAAAGACACGTGCCTGCCACAAAACGCCACCCGATGCGCGGATCACTAACTTCTCAAGTGCTAACTTCTAATTGCTTCATAAATGCAACAACTCGAGTTTCGTTCGGCGGAAAAGCCGATTCCGAGCTCTTTCTCTGGCCGTGATATTAAGTGATATTCCCTGACTGATTTCCACCTCATCAGGCTCATTCTGTATCTTGATCGAGTGCAATTGGTAATTTTTTCTTTTTTCTGGTCAACGGGATCTCCCGTGTAACACGAGATCCCTGGATCTGGTTTCCTTTGCTTCGAGATTCCTGTGGCGTGGATACGTTCGCGCAAGGAAAGGCACAAAAGTAATCCTTCTTTGATTTTGGTGAGCTTTTAACATGTTTTGTATTCGAGATATGGGACACGTATTTTTTTTTCTATACGTGTCCATACTTTTAAGAGGTGAAACACTCCTGTGAAACAAAATTGATTATTTTCTTTCGAAGCGAATATACTTTGAAACTGTTAAAGATGGAAAAAATATTTTCAATAAAAAAGTCGAATGGTTTCAAGAGTACTTTATAATAATAATACAGAATTTCTTTTTGAATTTGTAAAAATCTCTTTTTGGGCAAAAAGATTTAAAAAGAATTCTTTTTCGTCATAAAGTACTCTTGAAACGAACTTTATTTAAACTTCAACTTTTTCAAAAATGTTTAAAAAATCTTTTATAACTTAGACGATATTCGCTTCGAAAGAGAATAACGGATTTTCTTTTAAAGGGATGTTTCACCCCCTAAAAGTGAGCACATAGAGAAAAATAACATGTTTTAATCTCGAATACAATATATTAAAAGTATAAAATCGAAGGGGGAGACACTTCCGGCCTTTCCCAGCAAGAATGATAAAGAAAAGGATATTTCCATTATCCTTCGAGTTACGGTTGTAGAATAGATACTAGTCGTGTAACGATGTTATTTGCGGTGAAAAGGAAAAAGAGAAAAAAAAAGTCGTCGCGCGCCCGTTCAGAAAGATCGCAAGGATGATTACAATCGATTTACACCGGCATGCTGTCGGTATTATTCCAAGTCGACAAATGACTACGTGTGATTATGCGGTAGCACCCCTCGAGGTATCGTCTTCGCTGATAATAGTATCAGTCTTCGCAGATTCGTTAAAAAAACGCTGACGCGAAATCTCGAGGCAGATTCGGCATTTTGCAGCGAGAGCCACTTCTTTCGTTACCTGGAACGAGCTCGATTCTAATTTAAAAGAGGCGAGGAGGGGGGGGGGGAAGAGAAGGGAATTTTTAATTTGCTATCGCTCGCGATGAAAGCGCTCTAGATGTCAAATTACTTTTTTCGTATACGATCTCAACGAAGACAATCGAGGATTATCCTCATCTTCCGTCATTACAGAGGTCATTTCGCCGACGGTTAAGACGGATGCGACGCGTGGAGAAGTAAAGGGATAAAATAGAAAGGGTCGTTTGTACCGCTTGAAGCATTTTTAAAATGCGACGCGTATACTTCTCGGTGCAATAGAGAAACGCCGTTTCTCAAGACGCTGTTTTTTTTTTTCCTAGCGTATTTCCAACGCTCTTCGCGGCTCCGTCGCATTTCGTATTTGCATTTGGATCAACTGTGACAATTGCTGAATTCTCTGCATTTGTGTATTATAGTTTTACTCTCTCTCCAACTGGGGCGGAACGTATATATATATAAGTACGTTCCATATATCTCACGCCGAAAGACGTGTGTGTTGCGCGTCGACTTTAATTCATAAACGCGAAGGCTGCTGTCTTTTATGTGCAATATTTTTCTATTCTCTACTTCTACTTTTACTTCGCGGCGACGTAACGAGATACACAAGTTCCCTCGGTCCAATCTCCGTCGCGGGAGGGGAGGCTTCTCTGCGTCGAAGCTGCGCGTTGCTTATAATTGCGAGTTTCCACGGGGAGGGGGACAGCTCGACCGGGTCGTCCGACGAGCGTTGCGTCGACGAGCGTGTATACATTAGCTAAAACTGTACAAAGTACAAAAAACGTGAACCATCAATTATATATATACATATATTGCGCGGGGAAAACAGACGCGGACGGCGCGGGCACCTGCGCGCGGGGTGGTCCTGGCCGTCGCCTATACAGGGTGAATCGTAGGCTGAAGCAATACCAGAGAGATGACAGCTGGCGTGCGCCTGAAACTTTCGGTGTTCCGTATGTTCGTTTTTATTGCGAGGTCCTACATTTTTGCATTATTATAAATATAAATATATACTTATCGCGCCCGCGCGTGCTCGTGTATACGTTCACATTCGTTCGAGCTGTGTGTTAAAATTAAGCCGCGCGCCGACGGGATTTCCGAGGAAGACCTAAGTTACGATACATAATTATTAATTAATATATATATATATAAATGTGTATAATATTTAATAAGCGAAAAGGGAAAACAGAAATTGCACTGCTGTACCTAAATCGGATAATGAAAAATCATACTGCCAATCGTAAAGCCGCGCGGATGCTATTGCATTTACACAAGAGCGAGAGAGAAAGAGAAAAGAGAGAGACATTTACGACGTTTGTGCAAAACCTTTTTCCGCGTAGCGATCGACGAGACGTTTTTTTTTTTATATTCGCCGTTTTATTATTACGTATAGCCGAAACTCTTGCAAATCGCTGCATGACTTAAGAGACGTATACTAACCTAGTCACTGTGTTATAAAGGGACGAAAAATCGCGCGTCGGTCGAGCGCGACTCGCTGGAAGGGACAACTATGTGTGGCGACGAGCTCCGAGAGAGAGAGAGAGAGAGACGAGAATCATCTGTGGCAGCTCATACTGTGTATGTACATTAATAATTCAACGAACTTGGTCTCTGTAAGGTATATGTATATATAAATAATATATGACTATATCGAGGCGGATCTTGCGACCGGGGATTATTTTACTTACGTAAGCCAGATGTGTAGAGCAGTGTTGTGCAAAATATGCTTCAAAATAAACTTTATTTAAATATATACGTGACGTCGCTCAATATAAACCCCTGCACAGCGCGCATCACTTTAATTGTAGCTCACAATCGACGTTTTTTTTTCTCTCGAAACGCGGTTCCTCATCTCGACTGGCTCAGGTAAATTAGTAAGAAACTGTTTGAAAACTCTATCTCACGTATGTATATAAATTCGCTCATCTTACAGGCTCGCATTGAACTCGAATTGTAGTTACGATTAACTTGTTAAACTAGCCTGTTAATCGATCTCGTTCATTCAGTCGTATCGGAGAATTTGTTGTTGTTACTACACGCAGTTGTCTAACAGTCCCACTGCAAGCGCCCCGAATAAGAAGCTCCCCTTTTTTGAATCGCGCGAGAAAACTCGCGAGGGCACCACGTAAAGTGTCTCCCTCTTTTACCGACTATCAACGCCCGATAAAATCTAATATTCGTCCGGAGAATTGGCAGATGGTAAATTTCTGAAGCATGCGATTTTACCGACACGTATATTAGCGGGTCTCTTTCGCAGACCGTTCATTTCAAACCGTCTTCCGTTATAAGAGCCGGTCCCTCTTCCAGATTTCTCTTGCGACTCTTGCGAGGTCTAGCGATACAGCTGTTGACACGATCGGGAAAAGCGATCCGGCAGCGATAAACCGTAAGGGCCTTACGATAGGGATACGTCGAGTTTAAACCCGAACTCCGTCGCACGAGGCACACACAAATATGTCAGGCGAGGGATCGGTGAGGGGCATCGCTGCCTTCAGCAGAAGGGAGTACGACGACCACCGGGAAGCTCTCTCGTCGAGGAAAGAGTGGCCCGGCATCAACGTCAGGCCCGGTGAGAGGGCAGATTTATTTAATTACAGCTAGAGTAGTCATTCGAATTCCTGGACGACAACGTCAATTTTGATTTCCAGATTCACGCGTGATGCTGAACGTGCCGATGCTCGTCGCGGAGCTGTACCGGCTGGTGCCCTACAAGGACGGCCGCTACGTGCACTTCCACCCGTTCAATATGCCCAACATTAAAGTACGTAAGATCGAGCTGGTCGGAACCGTTACGAATGTCAGGCGCAATGTCAATGATCTGCTTCTGACAAGTAAGGCAAGAGGCATGTGGTGTGTGTGTTGTGTGTGTGTGTGTGTGCGTGTGTGTGTGTGCGTGTGTGTGTGTATGTTTGTGTGGTGTGCGTGCGTGTGTGTGTGTGTGTGTGTGTGAGAGAGAAAGAGAGAGAGTGCGACGAGATGTATGCGAGAAGGCACTCGACCTTGAACTTGAGTTTTCCTTGCAGTTGAGGATGGCACGGGAGTGATGCGGGTTAATTACAAATTAAGCCAATATCTTTGCGAGTTGAAACAGCGGCAGATGGTAGACGAGAGGTACGGGATACAAGCTGGCAATCTACGGACGAGCGAGGCGAAGGCGAGCCCAAAAAGTTGCCCGAAGAAGCTCCCTGCGACACGCCCGGGATTCTCTTATCCACGCGACGTGTCTCCGCGTGACATAGCTGTAAGGATTTGAGGGGGAGAAGCGTTGAAAGTAGCCAAGTTACAAACTCGGCGATTTCCGTATGCGACGTGTAAGAATGAGATTGTTTTCCAATGGACAGGTCCTGGAGAACGAGTGGCGTTCGGAGACGAACGACGGTTTGTCGGGTAAAGAGATCCAACCGTTCGACTACGTGTACGTCACCGGATACCCGTGTCTCGACACGAACTTCCAAAAGATACCGGAGCAGATCACGACGGAGTTCATCGAGAACGCGAGACTGACCGTCCTCGCGATGTCCGTCGTGTGCATCTCCGAGGAGATGTACAATAAAAAGTTGTTGATGTGGATAGGCAAGACTATTCGCCAGAGGTACACCGACAATAAAGGCTGTGTCACGAAAAAATAAACAGTCAAAAGTCTGCGAAAATTATTTTAAGAATGTACGACATATATATATATATTTTTTATAAAGATTTTAATATATTAAGTATATATTGTTAAATCCACGACACATTATTGAATTTATTCAATCGTTACGTGAATTTCCTTCAACCTCCGAGATATATGAAATTCAGTAGCAGTTTCGATCTCCGCGCGTTATTTTCTCGAGCACTTGTCCGCGTCTATTTTACGTTGATCGTAAAAAGCGCGGCGGGAGGAGACGGGAGAGGAACGCTCGGGAATGACGAGAATTGCTCGCGAGATCGGTAAGAGAAACGCGAACGGAATGAGAATTTCCTGAATGCAGGCGGAGACCGCCTAGTGTAATCCGTTCTTAACAGATGCCGCCGCGTGAGAGCCCCGAGGAGAGAGAGAGAAGCCGTGCCGGGCCGCCCCGCGCGCCGTCGTTCCTGCTGCTCTGTCCGCCGTCTGCCGTTCGCGATAGTGTGTGTGTTTGCACCGCCCCGTGTGTCTGCCTCCGAGGATGGCCGCGATGCTGTCCAACTGTTCGCGGCTCGCGCCCCGCGTGATCACGCGGAGTGGCGTGTTGCGGGCCGAGGTGAGTAAACGACCTCTCTTCCCTCGCTCGGCGCCGACCGCCTCTCCTCGCCTCGCGTGCCTCGTCCGCGGTGCCGACCGCGGTGGAGCTGCGGTGACGCTTGCTCGTCGCCCTGAAGGGTGCTCGCCGTCGTCGCGGGTCGTCCGCCTCCGGACGTTCCGCTCGCCTCCCCTCTGGCTTTACGCTTAACCGCGACGACGACGGTTACATAATGCGCGCACCTCTCTCTCTCTCTCTCTCTCGGCCCGACGATACCCTCGCGTGATTCACGGCGGTGCCGTGGTCTGTCAATCAAGCGAGAGAAGTCTCACTTGTCTCGCCAGGACAAAATCGGTCCACGACCAAGCGCCTGGACATCGCGAGCGTGACGTCGACTCCTTCCTTCTTCTTCCCCCCCCCCCGTTTCTTTCTCGTGATTTTCACGTTTGAAACGACTATTTTTATCCCCCCCCGGCAAGGCCATACCGCGCGTCGGCATTTCATAAGAGATCAATCGCTAGCTTTTTCTGACCCGGTGAAAATCAGGACCCAGTTTTCACCCGTGCCGCATAAACGCGTCACTCTTCGTATGTCGAAATAAGACTAACCAGTTCCCTCGTTCATTTTGCAGGTCGCGAGATCGTTGTGTAGTCAAGGTAAGGTTAATGAGAGATGATAAGACACTGATAAGACCGATGAGATAAAAAGCGCGAGGATTTTGAAAAACAGTTATGAGAGACAACAAGTTTGAGTTCAGGAGAGAAGCTCATCGTAGCGGAAAACGATTAATTGTGACAAATCATTTTTATAGGGCGCACTGTAGTTATCCACGCCGAACACGTGCCCAATGCCAAAGCTCTGTTGTGAGTAGCGTTATTTCGTGTCTACACTTACCTATATATTTTTGGTTTTAAATCGCTAATGTAGAGAAATTCAATAACAATTTTGTATAATTTTCTATTGCTTGTATCATAATTTTTCGTTGCTGCGCTAATTAAATCAATTTTTCAATTCTGGAAACGGAGGACAAAAGTAGAAGGATCAAAGACTAAGGTGTTCTTTTGCTTGCAGATGCAGAAAGTACAAGGCAAATCATTACTGGATAAATCAAGCGAGACATATACGTTCAACTTCAGCATTATGTAAGGCATCTTATATATCCTTGTTGGGTAAAGATTGAAGATTTAATCTATTCATGTATAAATAATTTGTATTATCTAAACAGGGGAGATCAGAGAAGTTGTAGTCCCTGCGTTCGCCGAAAGTGTGAACGAGGGCGACGTGAGGTGGGAGAGGAAGGTCGGCGACCAGGTGAAGGAGGACGACGTTCTCTGTGAGATCGAAACGGACAAGGTACGTATCCTAGACTTGTTGCTTGTTTTCTTTCGAATTAAATGCCATTTCCGCCAATGAAGAAGTAACTTTAATCTCGGTTTAACTTACTCTTCATTTTTCTCTAATTCTTAGAACTGGAAAAGAGATGAAGAGAAAGTTGAACCGAGATTAAAGTTAATCTACGTCGGTGGAAATTAGGGCTGTTACTTTTTACTCACTTTGAATGTTCCATAAACTTTGACCTTTCGAAGTTTAAGTTAAAAATGCCTACGAAGTTTTGAAGTTTCGAAGTTTTGCAAAATACATTAAAAATTTGAGTTTTCTTAATTGGATTGTTTTATTGATCATTATCTTTCCTTATTTACACATGCATCAAGTTCAATCATTAATTCGTAATATTTCAGATTATAATACATTCAAATTTTGTAGGAATAATTTTCTATATATATTCTTTAATATTTTCTGAATAAATTTATCCTTTGAACAAATTGTATTTTTCGAAACTTCGAAGCTTCGAATGTCGGAAGCCTACGAAGCAAACCACCTAGTGGAAATAGGCATGAAACGCGAGATAGGAAACTAATCGCGATTATTGCGAGGAGAATATTATCCAACCTTTCAACCGTCTCTGCCCGCAGACTTCGGTTCCCGTACCGTCGCCCGGGCCCGGCGTCATAAAGGAGCAGTTCGTTAAGGACGGCGACACCGTGAAGCCGGGACAGAAGCTGTGCACCATCGACATCGGTGCGACAGGCGGTGTCGCGGCCGCCGAGCCCGCGGCGAAGGAGCCGAAGCCCGCCGCCGCGCCGAAGCCAGCCGCGGCGGCGCCGCCACCGGCGCCGTCGCCACCCCCGAGCGCGGCGGCCCCGCCGCCGAGGGCCGCGGCGCCGATTCCGCCCCCCGCCGCTCAACCGCCGCCGCAGCAGGCGCCCATCGCGTCCATGCCGGTCGCGGCTATCAAACACGCTCAGGTAAGATGTGAACGATTGTTGTGTGAATTCGGAAGTACCATGAAAGAACGGTTGGACTCTTTCAGTCGTTGGAAGGCGCGAGAGTTCAGCTACCACCCGCCGATTACACGCGCGAAATAATCGGCACCAGGACGGAGCAGCGAGTGAAAATGAACAGGATGCGTCTGCGCATCGCGGAGCGTCTAAAGGACGCGCAGAACACGAACGCTATGCTGACCACGTTTAACGAAATTGACATGAGGTAATAATTTCAAGAAATCATCGCTTTCATTTGTATCGAGCGTACACAAAGACCTTATCTCTCTCGTTCTCTCGTACGAAGACACGCGTATCATGTTTACGCGCGCTGTTATCTTTTCTTATTTAACGTACATCATTAATTCGCAGCCGTATTATGGAGTTCCGCAAGACGCATCAAGACACGTTCACGAAGAAGTACGGCATCAAGCTCGGCTTCATGAGCCCGTTCGTCGCGGCCAGTGCCTACGCTCTGAAAGACCAACCCGTGGTGAACGCCGTGATAGACGGCACCGACATAGTGTACAGGGATTACGTAGACATTAGCGTGGCGGTCGCGACGCCGAAGGGGCTCGTCGTGCCGGTGCTGCGCAGCGTGGAGAGCAAAAATTTCGCCGAAATCGAAATCGCCTTGGCGGCAATGGGCGAGAAGGCCAGGAAGGGCAAGATCACCGTCGAGGACATGGACGGCGGCACGTTCACGATAAGTAACGGTGGCGTTTTCGGCTCGCTGCTCGGCACTCCCATCATCAATCCGCCGCAAAGCGCGATTCTCGGGATGCACGCCGTCTTCGACAGACCAGTCGCCATTAAGGGACAGGTAAAGGTTCACCGAAATGCGCGCGAGATTCTTTCACTTTTCGATTCTTTAAAATTTGAACCTCTAATCTTTTAATATTTCAATTTAAATTAAATTTAATTTTTTAATCTTTCAATTAATTTTTTTATCTTTTAATTCAAATCTTTATTTAATTCTTTAAGATCTTTCAATTTAAACCGTTAAAACCCATAATTGCATCACAAAATTGCTCTAACGAATGTCCTTTAATTTTTTTATCTTTCAATTCAAATCTGTATTTAATTCTTTAAGATCTTTCAATTTAAACCGTTAAAACCCATAATTGCATCGCAAAATTGCTCTAACGAATGTCCGTATTCCCAGGTTGTCATTCGGCCAATGATGTACGTAGCCTTGACGTACGATCATCGGCTGATCGACGGACGCGAGGCTGTGATGTTCCTAAGGAAGCTCAAGGCCGCCGTGGAGGATCCTAGAATTATCCTGGCTGGCCTTTAATAACCTGGGACACGTTTGTCGCGCGCGTTAACGATACGTACGACGATCACCGTTGGATTATACTAAGCAAGAGCGCGACGCGAGAGTCTGGAAACTCGGCAGGGGAGCAGTTCCCGTTTCCGGAAACCTCTAATCATCGGAGCGTCCCCCCCCCCCCTCACACCTCTCTCGGAGGGGACGTTTCTCAATACCTTGTTTCGAATACCGTCAATCCTCCACCGCCGCACGTGGGACGACGTGACGAGTGCAGTCACAAATATAACGATAAGCAAAACTGGTGGTCCCGTCTGTTATTCTGAATTCTCGAGAAGTATCTCGTATTAAGTGAACGGGCGTTCACATCCACACTTCCTGTGTGCATCGCCGGATGATGTAACATTTGCTATTGGAATCTCTCAACGCAAAACCCGATTTGTTATTGGAATTTCTTTCAACAGGGGATACCCGATAACGATTTGCCGAACCGATAATCGCGTTCCCGCGAGCACCCCCCGTACCTCTGTCGCGCCACACCGACGGACGTCGAGTCGGTGTCGAAGAGGGGCGCGGAGAGGGGGGCTGGAGCCGAGGGGAGGGCTAGAAGGTACTTATCCCAAGTACTCTAGATGTAGACCCACAAGCTAAAATAAAATCTCACCAATCTAAGTCTCCTTAGCGTGTTGTTGAATTGCGCGTGTCACATCGCGGCTGTAGAATTTAAGTGAACTCGACAGATATTGATATTTAAATACGCTGATTGAAGGAGGGGGGGGAGGGGGAGGATTTGTCGGGAAGTTTCGCACTCGAGGGAATTCACGACTTGTAAATCAAAAGTTATTTATTAAATAAAATTAAAAAAAAAAATAGATCAATCATGTCGGCATCAATGACACGTGTTTTTGTAATAGTGATATGTATAGGAAGGAATGCATGAGAGGGGGAGAAACGTTTGACGCGTCAATGTACAAAAGTAGAGCACACTGCCAAGTCCTGCGACGAAAACATTTTCATCGTAAGAATATTTGATTACGATCCCACTCGCGCTGGTATTGATAACAGCGCGAGTGCTGTCTCGCGACGTTTCCATCTCAAAAGTCAGACCGCAGCTTTATGCGTGAGGATGTGCGAATGCTCTTTTTAGTCCCGCATATTGTAAGATACATTGTATATCGTTCGATACTGTGTACTTAAACGAGGAAAACGCATATAAAGCACGCTGAATTGAACATCGAATCTCGTTTCATTTTAATGATTGCCGTTGGCGTAGATCGTAAAATTAATCGCTGATTTAATAATAATATATAATAATAATGATGACAGTTATACAAATTGATTATCGATTAAGTTTTTTAGGGATTTTTAAAAGTATTTTTTTTTTTTTTACATCAATCATCAATTACGACTTTGAAAACGAGGAAAAGTGTGATGAATAATTCTCGCAGGTAATAATTTCCCCGGAATTTTTCCTCAATCGTTTCCAGTGTCTGTCAATTGAATACGTTTTTACATCTTTAATTCTGTTCAGCTGACAGATTTGATTTTATATATGCAAAGTGTAAAAAAAAATTTTTAATTTCCTACGAATTTTATGGACGTTTTTATTACCCGCGATCGAGACTCGCTATTGATCGGGAGGGCGTAGGAAGTCGATCCTTTCTTATCGACCGCGCGCAATCGAGTCGCTGGCGAATGACTCCGCCGTTTCGAAGAGCGAGTCAAGCCAGATCGAGCGTTGTGACGGAGGGATGGTGAGTCTGTCAAAATATGTCAAGTAGGATATTATTTAACGCAGGACGCGGGGCGGCTTCGCTATTTGGGAGAATAAAGGGCAGTTGCGTATTCGTTGCTAATTTTTTTTTTAGGCTCTACTCCGCCTCGCCGATCGTTTAGGTTAGCCATCCTTCAGATGTTTGCCCTGTTTCCGAGTCCTTTTCTCAAGTTTCAACAAAAAAAAATTTGATTCCCCTCGAGCGATTGCGCGGATATTCCTTTAATGCATCTCTTATTTTATCGGCGAGTTGTTTTTTTTTTTAATAACAATAAACTCACAGGGTCAGAATCAATCTGGGACTGGTGGCAGCGGAGGAGACAAGAAGGATGACAAGGACAAGAAGAAGAAGTACGAGCCGCCGATCCCCACGAGAGTGGGCAAGAAGAAGAGGCGCACCAAAGGGCCGGACGCGGCGCTGAAACTGCCGCAGGTGACACCGCACACGCGTTGCAGGCTGAAGCTGCTGAAGATGGAGCGCATCAAGGATTACCTGCTGATGGAGGAGGAGTTCATCAGGAATCAGGAGCGCCTGAAGCCGCAGGAGGAGAAGAACGAGGAGGAGAGGTCGAAGGTGGACGATCTCCGCGGCACGCCGATGTCCGTCGGGACGTTGGAGGAGATAATCGACGACAATCACGCGATAGTGTCCACCTCGGTCGGCTCCGAGCATTACGTATCCATACTGTCGTTCGTGGACAAGGATCAGTTGGAGCCTGGTTGTTCTGTATTATTGAACCACAAAGTTCACGCCGTTGTTGGCGTCCTAGGGGACGACACCGATCCCATGGTTACGGTGATGAAGCTTGAAAAAGCTCCGCAGGAGACCTACACCGATATCGGAGGTGTGTGCTATGCAGATTCTATATTTATCTAAATACTTCACGTTTATCTATAGATCTATACTATTACGCATTCTGATAAATCTACAATTATGTATATTTTTTTTATAAAAGTGTTGAGATTTCATAAAATCTTTAATTAGAAACTTTAAAAAGTTTCAGGTTATGTTTTTGATAGAAACTTTGATTTTTAAAACTCAAACATAAAATTTAGCGTTAAAATACTTGTAAATTCAAGTAATATATAAAATAGAATTACTATACGTTCACTTTTATAAATTGTTGAAGGAATGTCGCTTTTGATAAATGTAAAATTGTCATACAAAGACATCAAGGAAATACAACTCATAAATATTTTCAGGTCTTGATACTCAAATTCAGGAGATTAAAGAATCTGTAGAATTACCATTGACCCATCCGGAGTACTACGAGGAGATGGGCATTAAACCTCCGAAGGGCGTGATACTCTACGGTCCACCTGGCACTGGAAAGACACTGCTCGCCAAGGCTGTGGCCAATCAGACATCGGCCACATTCCTGAGGGTTGTTGGTTCCGAGCTTATACAGAAATACTTAGGGGACGGCCCGAAGCTCGTGAGGGAGCTGTTCAGAGTCGCTGAGGAGCATGCACCCTCCATTGTCTTTATAGACGAGATAGACGCGGTAGGAACGAAGAGATACGACAGCAACAGCGGCGGCGAGAGGGAGATTCAGAGAACCATGTTGGAATTGCTTAATCAATTGGACGGTACGCCAATCTCCAATACTAAATTCATATAAAAAAAAAAAAATTTCTTTATATTGAATATTAAAACTTCAAACATCGTGATTATTATTACAGGTTTCGATAGTAGAGGCGACGTGAAAGTGGTAATGGCTACGAACAGAATAGAGACCCTGGATCCCGCTTTAATTAGACCCGGTCGAATCGATAGGAAAATAGAATTCCCGCTACCGGACGAGAAAACTAAAAGAAGAATCTTCAATATTCACACCAGCAGAATGACCTTGGCGCCTGACGTGAATCTTGCGGAATTGATCATGGCGAAGGACGATCTTTCTGGCGCGGACATCAAGGTAGGATAATCTTCCGTAAAAAAAAATACTCATTTGCCTTGCGTACATTTCGCACGGTTTTCGTGCAGTTCCCTTTTTTTATATTGCTCTATTAAAATGAACTCTCACTAAAATGAATTCTAAAACTCTTTTTCAGGCGATATGTACCGAGGCTGGTTTAATGGCTCTACGTGAACGACGTATGAAGGTTACCAGCGACGATTTCAAGAAGTCCAAGGAAAGTGTGCTGTACCGGAAGAAGGAAGGTTCCCCCGAAGGATTATATTTATAAAAAGAAAAACATTTATTATCAATAATCACTGTACGACTGAGTCGCGAAGCTATCCGAGTGTCTCGTATAATAAAAGTTTCTATAGGAAATTAATTTTTTACAATATTAATAATTAATATTAATATGTTAAATAATCAGTATATTAAAAATATTACTAGATTTTTAATAATCTAACCGTTACGCTCGTTTTGTAAATGTCACCTAAACTGTATCTAGATTGAATTGACGCCCGATCTCTTCAGGATCGGTTCGAAGTACTCGCGCAGCCTGCCTATCACTTCCGCGGAGTGTGCTCTCTGCTCGTTCAGGACTTCGTCGAACGGGGCGTCCTCGTGCGGACTGGGGGCTTTACGTCGCGACTCGACGTCGCATATCCTACACGCGCCGCGTCTGGTCTTGTCGAGAACGGCGGCCACGTCCGCGGGATGCTCCGGCGCGGACGTCGAGACGGCAGCCAGACCCTTGTACCTTCCCAACGTGAAAGCGGTCTCGAAACCGTCCCTGTAGCCGATGTCGAATCCCTCCTGCAGCACAGAATCGGCCCCGTCCTGTGCCCCTTCTCTGTAGCCGGTCTGAAAAATGCGTTTCGGTCAAACGGAGAGGTGGTAACGCGACACGACCGTCGCGCCAGAGACTCGGGGTCGTGAGTCCGCTGAGAAATCTCTTGCATACCTTGACGGCGGCGTCCATAACGCGTTCCCAGCATTTCGTAGCGACGTATAGAGAATCGTCGTCCCTCGAACACGAGTCGTGTTCCGTCGATTGTATCACGTCTTCCATTGTGCAATTGTCCCGTCTGATTATCCCTGAAAGAATCAAGACCTGAAAATATTTACGAGTTATATTCCTTGATATCTTTGTATGACAATTTTACATTCATCAAAAGCGACATTTCTTCAATAATTTATAAAAGTGAACGTATAGTAATTCTATTTTATATATTACTTTAATTTACAAGTATTTTAACGCTAAATTTTATGTTTGAGTCAATTTTATGTTTGACTTAAAAATCAGTTTCTATCAAAACATAATTTGAAATTTTTTAAAGTTTGTAATTAAAGATTTTTGTGAAATCTCAACACTTTTATAAACAAAAAAATATAATTGTAAATTTATCGGGATGCGTAATAGTATAGATAAATGCGAAGTATTTAGATAAATATAGAATTATATAAGATTCAACAATTTTACGTGATGTCTCAAGCCACAAATCTTCAACAAAAACCTTTTGCTTCTGTAAAAAAAAATTGCACCGAATGAGTAGATTTTTGATCGGAATTGTAGGTAGGAAGGTTAGAGCAATCATCTATCGCAGATTGTATAATTTTACGGAGCTCTAAACATTCGTGACAATTACACGTGGTGTTGACACAAAGAAATAAAAAAACAATAATTACAGCGTTCACAAGGTCGACGTTTCTGCAATCGGAGTGTCGAGTGACAACTCGTATCTATGATGAGGGGGGGTTTTTAGTGTTGTATCACCGGTTGGTGATTTTGCGCCTTCAACCTATACAGAGAGGTTATATGACGCCCGTTTTCAGACTGATTTTTCCTGCAAGATCCAATATGCTATTAATATTAAATTATCTTTCCTATGTTTTTCAGCAGCACAGTGAATATCACATCAATCTTCTCCCATTGCTCCGTATCTATGATGACAGCAGTGTTAGGTTAGGTTAAGCTGCTCTTGGAGGACGTGTAATTTAAATGCCCGCGAGCGAGCGTTGAAACGCAGCCCAGCAGCGCGCAGAGCGCGCTTAGGTGGGTGCTCGAAAAAATGTCGGGACGCAGAAGGAAGGACAAGAGCAAGCTGCTGGAGAGGAGGCCCCGTTACGTTCTCGGCAAGGAGCAGAGGTACAATGACATGAGGGACAGGGAGCCCGTGGAGTCCGACAAGGAGAACGACGAGACAGGTTAGAGATCGGGACGTTGTTTACGTCGCTCTCGACGACTCGTTCACTGGGTACCGCGATCTCTTTGCAGCGACGACGGCGGACGAGTGGCCGCTACCGTTCCCCGTGGCCATGTGGGACCTGGAGCACTGCGACTCCAGAAAGTGCACGGGCAGGAAGCTGGTGAGGCACGGCCTGACGAAGCTGCTACGGCTGGGCGCGCGATTTCCAGGCCTGTGCCTCACCCCGCTGGGCGACAAGGTTAAGAACGGAGAGAAACGATACGACGGCGTGGGTCTACGCCTAGAGTCTTGGGCTAAGATACGACAATTTGTGTTGGCAGTGCGTGACCCCGATGGATCGCGAGATCGTGGAAACGTACGGCTGCGCGGTCGTGGACTGCAGCTGGTCGCGTATAGACGACACCCCGTTCAACAAAATGAGGACCGCCCATCCTCGCATACTGCCCTTCCTGGTCGCCGCCAATCCGACGAACTTCGGCAAACCGTGCGAGCTGAGCTGCGTCGAGGCGATCGCGGCCGCTCTAATTATAACGGGATTCCCGGGCGAGGCTGCGGTGTACCTTGACAAGTTTCGCTGGGGACACTCGTTCCTGAAGCTGAACGGCGAGCTGTTGGAGAAGTACGCCCGTTGCGCAAACACCGAAGAAGTAATAGCGGTGCAGGACAAGTTCCTGAAGGACGCCTGGCAGGAGAGGATAGACCGACTTGGTAAGCGGGCGTACTGACAGCTCTGTATCATAATATCATATACTTTTATTCTGTTTCATAATAACGTGTTTGCTCCTCAGCGCTTCCTGACTTTCCGCAAAGTGATACGGAATCTGAAGAAGAGGAGGATAAAGGAGATGGGACGGCGATGTCCGAAATAGCTAAGGAACTAGCTAATGCAAGAATATAAAGTACAATAGCTAATGCAAGAGTATAAAGTACAATAGCTAATGCAAGAGTATAAAGTACAAGTACTGCAGCTGTTTAACGCGCTCAAGTAATGCAGGCACTTTTACATACGTAAGCATTTTGTACATTTGTTGAAATGACTATATTATGTTATAGATTCGTAATATATATATGTAAATTATACATATTAAAGAAATGGGAAAGGATCTCTTTGATTTTTTTTTTCTTATCGATTTCATATATTTTTTCGTAGAATAAAGCGATAAACTGGATGCACACATCTGTTTTGTATGCAATTTTTAAAAACTACTACATTAACATATATTAAAAATTTATGCATTAAACTTTCGATATATTTTAATATAAGTGCTATAAAAAAAATAAGAAAAAGAAAAATACAAGAATATAAGTTAAGATAATGAAAAAAATTTTCTCGTTTAAAGAAATTGCTTTTATTAGAGATTGAAACCATTAATCTTTTTCAACCTGACTTTAAATGCCTTGCTGGCATTTTTATTTTCTGTGTAATATTTGTACTTCGGATTATCAATTAAATTTTTTTATTTTATTTTAGCCTAATTGTACGTGCGAGATATAATATTTACAATTAATATGAAATTATTGAGATATATTCAACTACTTAGAGACTTAATCCCTGCAGAAACGAGCAAAAGTGTGTTCGTTGGAATCAAAGTCGTGGAGCGAACGGAGCCCGTTCTCCTGCGCGATCTCTTTCAGCTCTCTGGTAAAGTTCTGCAAATCCTCTTTGCGAAGATCTGCCATATGTCTGCGCAATTCCACGATCACCGGTGCACCAGCAGATGCCAACGGCGCCAAGTTAGCCAGTTGTTTTGTCATATTATGCGCCACCCAAATCAGATGGAATCTATTTGCGTACTCGCACTTGGACTTGAGAGCCTCCAGCGACGTTGCAGGATGAAAGATTATCTAAAAACAGGCGTTGTATACGAAACAAGTCATTGGCTCGTCGAAGCGTACGAAACGTTACCTTGTGATTTGGTACTTCCACCCAAGAAATCTTTTTATCCCGTTTAGATTCGTCCCCGGCACTCGTCCACGATTCGTTTTCCATGTCAATGTCCGGCATTTGGCTCACGATAATGCCGTTCAGGATCGCGGCATCCCTGTGTGCGCCGACATGATCCTCACACAGCGGCTCCCTCGTTCTTATTTCATGAATCGCACGCATTATCTCACGTTCGGCAACGTCGGTCGCTCTAAGCCTTTAAGATACACCGGTTTAAGGATCTTAATGGGAGACAAGCGCGAAAATTTCTCCGTCTAAATATATATTCGGTTACTTGTCTTTGTTTTTTTCAACAGCAGCCCAAGTAAAAAAGGGACCGTTCACGATGTCCCCCAAGTATGCGTAATGTACAAAGCCGGGTCCGTATTGAATTATATTATTCAACAGAGTCGGATTGCTTCTGACTGGTTCACCCTCGAGCCATGTAAAAGCTACTCCATTATTTCTCCAAAATCTAATAATTATAATAACGGACTCTTGTATCTCATTGATATATTGAGATAATCTCATTTCATCTAAAGAGTATGTCTCTAAGTTTTCTTGATCGTACATTTATATGCAGTTTTAACTGGGTGTATGCTTACTATATACAAACGCACCTGTATTCTTGTATAGTCAGATTAGTGGCACATCTGGGCTTTAAAACCATATAATAATCCCAGTCAAAAACGCCTTCCCTGTAGTCGTATCTTGTTTTCAACAACTTTCTGATTCTGCGATCCCAATAATTGACAATGGGAACGCCTTCGCGCGTCGCACGCGTCCAGAATCTTACGATTTAAGAAATTACAGAAATTAATACACGGAAATGCATAAATATGCACGTGAAAACATTAAGTATTTTGCTTGAAAACCAGTGGCGAATTTTCTCCAGGTCTGCATTTAGGTATCTCGCATTGTAGAATCTCTCAAATTAACTTTTTGTCGAGCGTCTCGGACATCAAAATTCGTCACCGTTTGAAACCGTCATTTCCCTATGTATTGTATCCCTTTGAACTTAACGTTAACTTACTTAAAAATCGATTCCAAATTATCTCTATCCTTGTGCTTAAACTTTTCTAACGATAACCACGGACAGTCAACGGTCCGAGTCGGAATATCGATCAGCTGTTTGGCGCATTTTGCCAAATATTTAGCCGTAGCCGGTCGCAAAAGGGTGTTCCCTAAAATCTCCAAATAATATCGCGTCGCCTCCTGCAGTCCTTCATTATTAACGTACATTAGCTTCGTTGACTTTTTCAGACTTTATATTCTGGCATTCGCGAATACATACGCATACACATACCTAAATCTCTTTCTAAGCAGAGGCTTAATAAAAGTATCGATCTAGCGACTTGCTCCAAAGTCGGTTCGATAACGTGATACGTGATAGCCTGATCAGGATGTGTGTAAGATGAAGCTAGCGTCTTCACGATGTGCCGCGCATCCCCGGAACCTACAATCAACACTTCAAGACTGCCTAAAACACGGTCCTCGCTTTGCGTCACTTCGGCTTGTAAATCTAGCGGTTGACTGTATCCCCACCACATTGTGTTACTTCGCGGTTTAAACTTAACAAAATATACGTTTTCATAAAATCGCCATGTATGTAGTTACATACATACAATTATCAGGACTTTGATCACTGTTACCAAGCAGGATTCAACATCTGTTATCTCCATGACAACCTATAAATAGTACAAACGAAAAGAATTATTTGAATCTTTCAAATAATTTAAATCGTAATTTAGTTGTAATAAACAAAGGGAAGTAGCGTTCTGTCTAAACAGATTTTATGCATACAAATCAATTGGAGGCAGAAATTAAATAAATAGAAAGAGACATTTGGCTAAGAGGAGTAAGAAGTATTATATTAAAATAAAAACGTTATAGATTTATATAATAAAATTATAAACATATTATTATATATATATATATATAGTGACATAGTAGTCATGTCTTTTAGACTTATAAAACCATTTATTTATTCCTATGTATAGAATCTGTGACACGGATAAAAATATTCCCTTTGAACTTTCCTCTCAACAAAGTTCGTTTATAAAGATTCTACGTATTTTAGCACGACAGCTCATTTGTCCCTCTTTTTCTGCGCCCGTTTGTTACCGCAGCGTTGCAAAAGATCAGTAATAGGGCCTTTATGTTGAAATATAGCGACGAGCTGTGTACGTGCTTCATTCATGCCTTCGCTGATTAAATTACTCCGTTGCATGTTGCCCTTAATCAATTCATTCACACGTTCGAGCCCGTCGTTATGTTTACTTTTGACGGTTTGCTGCGACTCCAGTAGCGTGAGCGTCGTTTTTAATTTCTCATGGACCTACGGATGTATCATACAACACATGATTTGCTGTTCGTAAATGGAAGAAAAATCTAAATAATTGTGGGACGTGAGTCAATGTACCTGTTTTTCAAGGGCCGCGATATCTTCCATTTGCGTAGTGAGATGATAGATTTTCCATCCATTCAGTCTCTGTAATACGTGTTTCTGTTGCGCCAGTTCAGCAACCGTTGGTCTCCTCTCCTCACGGGGTCGAACGTCGGTAGGTCTTCTATAATGCTGTAATCTAACTGTCCATCTGTTTTTCCACGAGGAGCCTGAAACCAAATATGAAACCAAATATGATTAGAAACAATATAATCGGATATAATCTTATAACCAATATAGAAAGTACAAAGTGGATATAACAAAATTTTTATATTATATATATACCTAATAAACTTGGTACAGGTCGTGTCCGTATTGTGATTTCTGTTTGCTGAGTAGACGATTTAATATCACTTTGTACATTGGAGAGTTGCCTCTTGTCGGACAACTTCTCTTTTGATTCCTCTTTACTATCCTTCTTAAACTTCTCCTCCGTGAGAAATTGCATCTCTTCCTCCGTACATCTGGGTTCAGTTAATTCTACGCCTGTAAGCTGCTGCTTGCGCGGCTTTTTCCTCGGCGACATTTCTATGTTGGGATTAATCGTAATCCTGGATTGCTCAAGTTCCTCGTCGAGACCTGGCGAAGACGTAGCGGACACGGTCGTGGACCCGGAACTCTGACCACCGTCCTGATCGCCCTTCGGCGAGCACGGCGGACTGGACATTGATCTACTTGATGGCAAAGACGCTAATACAGGACCTAAATTTTTAGCTGCACCTGCAAGAAATTGTGACTCCCCTGTGAAATTTAAATTGTAATAGACGTTTATTAAAGTATGAATGATTTATTAGTAGGAAATTTCAAATCTTATCTTAATATTCGATAGGAGATGGAGAAAATAAATTAAAATTATGATTGTAGCATACCGAAAAAAAATTTAGAAAATTTATCTTTAATCTATCTTCATATCTAGTTTATTTTTATTCTTAATATTCTTTTCGTTTTGAACTGTCTCAGCAAGCTGAATACTAGAGAGCAAAAATTTTTCTTCCATATATATATAAACAAAATATTTATACATGATACTTATTTGCTTACATATGGAAAAAAAAATTATGTATATATACACAAGATTAACGTTTCACAAATACGTTTCAACGCGTTGCAAAATCGAGTCTTTATCTTTTATTTTTCGAGTCTTTATCTTTAATTTTTATCTTTATATTAATACATTAAAAAAAATTCAATGTATCGTCAGTCTTATTGTTAGTTAAATTTATTTTCTTATTTTCATTTCTTGTTTCTTGTATACGTGTTTAAATAAATGATTATGAGAACAAATAATAATTTCTATATCGTTATTGCTTCAATTACATTTATAAATTTAATACATTAATTTCAGCATACCTTTAATTGGTGAATTGTCATGATCTCTCTTTCTTAGAATACTCGGTCTGGGAGACGCGTTAGGTTTACCATGGGGTTCTTCGTATCCCGGATCAACAACTAATCTCACTGGCTGCACCGAAGCCTGTCGAAATGGTGAATATGTTCCTGAAAAACAAGATACAAGTTCTTTTTATCGCAGAGGACAATTATTTTTTATCGCGGGAGACAAAAAGAATGCAGAAGATAAACGGCTCGCCTATTTTGAGTCATGATTTTACCTGTCGTCTCGAAGGAGAGATACGTGGTCGTATGCGGCGGATGTATGTACTGTCCCTGAACCGGCTGAGCGGAGCTTGTGGTTGTACTGCTGTTGGTGGACGACATACGCAAGTTGGCCTGTGGCGCCGGCTTCACTTGGACGGTTTGTCCAATATTTTGGGACTGCGCGGGAGCAGCCTTGATCGGACCGGACGTGGCCCTGACCGGCACGGCGATGGGCAAGGGGTGCAAGGACATCCCCGCGATTTTCGCGACCGTGGTCGGAACGGTTTGCAGTATGCGCATCGCATTCGACTGCGTATTTGCGGTCGTTGTGATCACTTGCGACACGGTATTGAGACTCGACAGAGACGTGACGGTCTGAACGACACGCGGCGCGCCTTGCTGTTGCTGTATCTGTTTCACAATTGTCATACGATTACTAATCTTGAAAACATTTTCAATACTGCAAATTAAAGGGTGGTAAACATCTACCTGCTGCGAAGGAATAACGATATGGCTGACGGTCGACGGCCCGGTCACCGTGTTACCGCTAATTGACAATTGACGACCCTGTTCTACCGAACCGATAGTAACCGTGGAAGCCGTGCTGCTTATTCTGTTCGCCGTCTCGACGATGGGCGTTGACACAGCTATACGTTTCGTCGTACCCGTCGTCGTCAGAGGTCTGCTCGTCTGGATAGGCTGAACATTTCAATGAAGTTTCATAAATTCATAAATTGTACATCTTTCCACGTCGCATTTATGTGCAATTCAGAAAAGTAGTACACTCAACCGTCACGTAATGCCTTCACCTCCGAGTCGAACGCATTGTGTCGATATTCGTGTACCAAGACTCAAAACTGTGTTTGACAACTGTAAGTTTTTTCAAAGTGCATAAAAAGAGTAAACAAAAAGTCGCATAATATCACACATACATGTATATTATATATATATATTGATATATCATTGTATAATTTACTTGAATGGTTTGTGCCGACGATCTGGTGGGTTGCGAGGTCTGTGACACAGTCACTACTTGCGGCGTCGGCGGTCTGTTTTGTGCAACTGGATGTCTGGTAAGATTAGTTTGCAAGACGGGCGCTATTAACCTGGACGGACTACCAGTGACCATGGTAGCTTGAACAGATCTTGCCTGACTGGCTGGCGTGATCAGCCGTTGCTGCTGTCCCGTGTACACGGTGGACGACGGTGGCCTGGAGACCCTGCTGACGGAAGGCGCGGGATGCCTTTGCGGTTGCGCGTATAACGCGACGGACGTTGTCTTGGCTTGCCATTGGGGATTGGAGATTGGTGTATTACCGCTGAAAAAAGAAAATCGAATCACGACGTAACAGATTTGTTTGAATTAAAACAACATATATTTCTAATTAGCTGCTCAATTTTCTTCTCCTCTAATTACGCTTTATCAATTCAAAAATTCTTTTATCAGATATGTACATACCCTGGTCTAGTAGCAGGCACAATCTGTCCCGCGTTCGTCCTGACAATAGGAGTGGCAACTGTCGATCTGGGTGCGGAGATATTAGCGACCGCAGCAGGTCCCCGCGGTACATGATACGTCGCTGGCATATTGACTGGATGTGGCGACAATTGCGTTTGCGTATTTAATATTCCTGGTGATATTATTTTTACTGTAGAGCCTATAGAACATAACTAGAAGCGGTGGGTTTGGTATTAATAAATCTATCATAAAGATATACGATATGATGACGTTAAAGCGTGCTCGAGAGTAAACAAGTAACTTTTCCACAATTATATCATTAAGACACCCTACATCATATAGAGTACTTCTATTCGCATTTAATATTGAACGTAAAATCAAATTTTATCGTAAAATGTAAAAAATAGATTTACTATTGCAGCACTTTTTTCCATAAACGATATAACAACACTGTAATTGGCTTCAGAGCGATGCTAGAATTACCGTTGTCGTTATTTTACTGGCTTCCGCAGACGAGGTAGCACCGGAGGGTACCACGGGCTTCATTAGGGACAGCTTCGGATTGATGTCGAGCGACACCGACTTGCCCACCAGACTGCCGGGTGTCCCCACCGAACCGACGATCGTCGGGGTCGGCTGTATGCTCGGTATACTACTCTGCACCACGCTCTGCACACTCTGCACGTTCTGCTGCATCGTAGTCAAGTTTTGCGCCACGGTCTGCACAGTCGTCTCCGGCGGCAGGCGCTTGTCGCCGCCGCCGCCACTCACGGTGCTTATCGTAGTGTTCATGGCTGTGCTGTCGGAACAAAGCAGACGACGAATTAATCACGCACCGGTCTCGCGCGCGACCCCGGGCGAGGCGGGGATCCGCGGGATTATCCGCGAGGCCGCCGACGACGACGACGACGACGACGACGGGCGAGCCTGGATTTACGCGGCAGTTGACTGAGCGTGCGGCTCGAGACACGTCGCGCCCGAGGTGGGAGCCCGAGCCATCCGCGCGACGACGGTCCGGATCGTTGTTTTATGTCAGAAGGGAGCATCCGGCCGGAGGCCTCAAACAACTTTGGAGGTTACGGCGTCCCGTACGCGGGAGAGGACCCGGCCGGGGACGCGCGGCCGCTTCATCGTCGTTCTCGCGCACTTCCGAGCGCGAGGGGACGACTTCCGAATCCTGGATCCCTCTCTCACTCTCTCTCTCTCTCTCTCGCGCCCTCAGCGGACTCGTGTCTCGAGCGGTGCACAGCAGTCAACTAGTATTGCCCGCGTAGCGTCGCCGTAGCCGTGAAAGCGCGCGTACCTGCGTAGAAGTCACGGCCCGGGGGAAACAACGACGACGCCGAATCACTCGCAGACCCGCGCACAACACATCTCGTACACTTGAACCTCGCGGACGCTCGTAACGAACAACAACACATACCAGTGCCTGTGCAACGCTCCTCGCATCGTTTTCTCTCTACCGACGTCTTACGGCGCGCAGTGGTGCACCAATGTAAAGCGCGATGCAGTGCGGGAAGACGGCCCTCGGCGCGAACAAATGTTCCATTTATTGCGCGGCGGGGCGCCCGTATAGGAATTTTCTTCTCCGACGCTCCGCTCTCGACGCTCACCCCGGGGCCGCGCGACGACCAATCAGCTGCCGACTGCGAAGTTAAATTCGGCTTAGCTTTGGTTATGTCGGGAGTGTGCGAACTGTCGAGGGCGGGGAGAAAAAAAAAATACTCGCCCCGCGAGAATCGACGGGGCGAACGTTACAGATTCAACCGATTGTCGTCGATGCCCGTCGTGTTTACGGTCCTATTGTCGATTTGCTTCTCTTGTGTTTATTGTTTGTTTGTCCGTCCCGACCATCCCAGCTGTCGCGAGTACCTCCACTTCCGGTCCAAAGGCACTTTCAAGCCGGTCGGACGCGCGTCCCTGGGAATCTGCTTAGAAATTTCAGAGCAACATTTTTTTTTTTACCAATCAGCCTAATATTGGTAAAATATCATGTAACCTGTTGTGCGCGACGCATGTCTCTGTCAACGGTCGTCGGTCGACTTCGGTCAGGTCAGCCGTCAGGAACCGCCAAACAAATGACGTGACGCTGATGACGCCCCGACGGATGCTGGAAGCGAAAAAAATCGAACCCGAAACTCCCGAAAGCACTGTCGGTATCTTACGACGCGCGTTCCAAAATATACCAACCGAACGCGATATATTTTATGTACCCATATATGATATATATAATGTATACGAAAAAAATGGTTAATATTATAATTATTTTAATTCCGCCCCACTTGAATTCTATTTTTTGTTATTAATCAGATAATATAGGTATTATTTGACAAATTAATCGCCAATTGAAAATTGATTATTAATTTTTATTAGCACAATATAAATATAATATAAATATAATGTATATAAAATAATTATAAAATTCACACATTTATGATTAATATAATATTAACGCGAATCTAGTGCGGCTAAAATATACATATTCTTATAAATGTCAATGCGTTGAGTGTTAATAAATAATTATATTTTTAAAAATATATGTGCACTAATAGAGAATAATGATCAATTTTTAATAGAGTCGATATGACCTTCAGATTTTCCTTAATTTAGTTTGGAGCAAAAAAAAAAATAAAAAGACAACATCACACGGTGTTCCCAAGCGGTCACCCATCCAAGTACTAACCGCGCTCAACGTTGCTTAACTTCAGTGATCGGACGAGAACTGGTGGTTTCAACGTGATTTGGAAGTTGTCTGATCACTCAAGTTATTTGAACGGTTTTCTTCAATCTTTGTAACTTTATCATCATAATTTTATTATTTTATGTAGCAATTAAAACAAATCGTATTTCCAAATAAATCTGGAAAACAGAAACGAAACAAATTAAAATTAAATTATTATCTGGTTTAATCGATTTGATTTCCTATCTCCTCAATCTTTCCGGTGCCTGGAAATTTTTCAGTGTACCACCAATCAGAAAATTTTATATCTAAATCAATCAGCCAATTGGCGACGTGGACAAATTCCGTTCTCATTGACAGACATCTGTTCTTAAGTTGGTAGATTTCTTAGGTTGGTAAATTCGCGCATGTTTCAACAGGTTTGCAATGGCGGGAAATATTGTTGAACGTAAATATCAACAAGGAAGAGAAGATGCACGTTTATCTCATTGTCATTGATTGTCATTCGTAAATTGTGCCGTTAACTTGAGATGAGTGCAAAACTAAGTAGGTTGCTCAGCCAAAAGGACCGGGCGCAGCTGCGGGAATTCGTGCGGGAGACCTCGACCGAGGAGGTAAAAGGGAACGCGACTCACGACGCAAGACGCACGCTTTGTTATGCGTCTATATGTCAATTTTATACAAAAATAAATTAGGATTCTTTAATGTATTTTATAAGAACGAGACCGTGTTATGACTTATTTCAGCTCGCGAAGATAATATCGAGCGGGATTGGCAATGCGGACATTGCCAGGGTACTGGACGAGATCCTGCAGGTGTGCTCCGAGTCGGAGGGTTTGCACGCCAAGAGAGTCAAGCTGGTCGAGTCCGCACTGAAGGCTTTGGGCAAGGCCAAAGTTTCGATCAGCCACGCGAACGAGATCGTGAATCGGATAGTGGTGGACTTTCCTAAATATTCAAAGCTACATCTGGTCAAATTGGTGGACTTCTGTCTCGCCAGTATTCGCAGCAATGACGACGAGTTTAGAAGGTATGTACACGCACGATTACTCTTCACTTGCGACGAAGAGGAAAGAAACTTCAAGTATCACGGTACGTTTCAGTTGGAAGGAGCTATTGCCTGTCCTGCTGGAGGTGTTGGAGGAGGAGAAATACATTAGTCACATGAACGGCGAGGTTTCTGGTTCCAAATACAAGTCTGTCATCGTTAATAATATATGCAACAGTGAGTGGGACACGCAGATAATGCCTTCGTTGGCAAGAATGTTTAGGTGAGCTCTCTTGTAGTCCCTGATAGAAGAAATAGATACGCGAACACAGTAAACTGATGGCTTTTCGATATTTAGAGACATATCCCTGGAAAAGGAGGATCATGCTACAGTAATCACGGTACTCTGCACAAAACTGCAGGAAATACCTCTTGAGGAAGTGCCACCTTTTGTGCATCAATCATTGAGATTGTGCACTAATCAGGATAGTAAATATCTCTTGGAAGCCTTACGAAAATATTTCGCGCTACGCTTTTCGCAAACTGACAGTGTTGACACTTTTGAAACTATAGGTAAGAAAAAATACAGAGCTGATATAGTTTATTTGTAACGATTTATGAATTTGATATGATTATACTATTGTACGTAATTATTAATGTAATATTATAGATTGTGCAGTGTGATTAGATAATTGCATTATAAACATAAAGGACATAGTTAATTTTATTGTATAATATAATTTTAAAAACGCATACAACGAGAGTCTGAAAGAATTAAAATTTGGAATTGATATTGCCATAATTCTTTATTAATGGCATCTCTAAATTATATAAAAATATAATACATTTTTCTTTCTGAACCTTAATCGTTAATTACTGAATTACAGATGTGATGAACCCCAAGGAAATTCAAGATGTTGAAAGTACAGTATTATATCATATATCTCAAGCGGCCGAATTGAATCATCAACATATAAGAGACTACATTAAATATTTCAAAAGCGTGTTGCATATCCCTGAAGCTATATTGGAACCTTTCGTACTCTCTGTGCTGCTCACACTTGCTTCTATTGATGAAAATCAGGTAATATACTCGTAATAATTCCGCATACTTTTGACGTTTATACTTCGATTTACTGTAATATTTAGATTATTAGTTACAAAAATTGAACAAAACCGTTCTCAAATAACTTGAGTATCGGACAACTTCCAAATCACGTTGAAAACACCAGTTCTCGTCCGATCACTGAAGTTAAGCAACGTTGAGCGCGGTCAGTACTTGGATGGGTGACCGCTTGGGAACACCGTGTGATGTTGTCTTTTTTTTTCTTTTTTTTTTGCTCTGAACTAAGAGAAAATCCCATTCGAAGAAAAACTCGATGAGATACTATTAAGAATTGATCATTAATCTTTATTATTTTTTATATAATATATAGGGTGTCCCGAAATTCGCGAATCAAAATATCAAGAAAGTCTTCGAAAAATTAAGTAAAAAAGTTATTTGTAAATTTTTATTTTAAGCAGTAGTTTTTGAGATAGGAGTTTAAATTTAGTCAATTATAGATTAATACGCGCAATCACTAAATACTATCAACACGCTCACGGACATGTTTCCGTTTAATCGTAATCTATAATTGGCTAAATTTAAACTCTTATATCTCAAAAACTACTGCTCAAAATAAAAATTTGCAAATAACTTTTTTACTTAATTTTTCGAAGACTTTCTTGCTATGATATTTTGATTCGCGAATTTCGGAATACCCTGTAATATAATCTTATATTATCTTATAATATATTTTTAATATATAACATATGTAGTTAATCTTATTAGCGCACATATGTTTATTACTAAAAATATATGTTTATACTAAAATTTATAAAATTCATTTATGGTTATAATAATATTAATACTCAATCTTAGATTTTCGAAATGCTACGAATGACCATTAACAAACGAAATGAAAATGACAATAAACAGAAGCATAGCGCGTGGCTGAGAAAATTGATTCCCGATTCTTGTAGCATAATGACTGTGATAGGGAACGTCATCGAGGCGAGGCAAGTATGCAGCACCCTGTGTTACGAATATTTTAATATCGAATTTTTTTTAATACCAAATTTTTTAATATATATTGCACTTTAATTATAGTAACAAGGATCGCCATTTGGTATTGAAAGGACTCGTGGATCTCGCGTTTGTTCTCTTGGCTGTGGAAAATAAGACTAAAACGGGTCCGCATCCTTCGTGGCAAATCGGCACGAAGATACTTCAGAAGATCATGAGAAAGCATCACGAAACGGTCGCGACTGTATTTCAAACATTGATCGATAAGATAATGGCGGGTGGCTCATCTATTTCTCAATATACCGGTATATTTAGAATATTCTGAGCTATTAGCTAATTAATTATCGTATTTATTTATTAGTTAGCTAAATTATCGTAAATCTTATTCGTAATTTAAACATAGGTAGGTGGAGCCATAATTATTCATTTATTTGTGCAGATTGCTTGACGTATATGTGCCGCAAGTTAACAGTTCTGATGTTGGACCATCAAGATTCGATAATAACGCTTTTCGATCAGCTCTCATCTATCCCCGGAGAGATTGCCATTTTTATCGTTTCCGCGATATTTCCACTGATAAAAGTCTCAGTCAGCATAAGAGAGCGCCTGATCTTGACATTGAGGCAGGCTCTCTACAGAAAGGGCACGTTTAATCGACAAATGGCGGTCAGCGGGATTTTGGAAATGTTGAGGAATCTGAAGATGCACTCTATGAGTGGCCTCGCGATGAGCTCGAGCCAATACGCCAATTCATCGTCGACTGGCGCAAGTTCCACGTCCATCTTGACTCAGGTTTCATTAATCGCATCGTCAAGAGCTTTTTTAATTAAACTTCCGTAATTGTAATAATTATAAACTATCCTATATGATATCGTTTCGTAGGTGACATTAGAGAGAGGTACACAAGCAACCGGATCTACCTCCATGTATAACAGAACTTTGTGTTACGATATATTGGGCATTTTAAAAAGATGCTTCACTCATGAGTGCGAAGTACGATTACACTTGTACAATGGTATGAAATTAGAAAAAAAAGCTATCTCCGTCTTGTTAAGGTCAATTTTTATCAATGTAGATTAACTTCATCGTAGCTTGATTTAACTTGCTCTTTATCTTTTTGAACTAGAATTAATTCAAGAACTAGAATTAATTCTTTAATTCTTTAATTCTTAGAACTAGAATAACACAAAAAATATATTATTTTATTAATATTATGATAAAATATAAAGTGTTAAAGTAATTGAGATTAGTAAAGTAATCTACATTGGTATAAATGGACATTAAAAGATCAAAATAACTAATTCAATTATGATTTATCCTCTAGGCTTATACGAAGCTGTATTGAAAAATATCGAGATAGCGGGATACATATTGGAGATGTTGTTGCCATACTTCAAAACCTATTTCGAGGCGGACGAGAACATCGTGGTACCGATTAAACTGGACTTGTGTATGACTGTACAAGGGGACCAAGTTATACTGCAGGAACCACTGGCCGAACTGATACTCATCCTGCAAAAGATCTACATCAAGTCGGCTCTAGTGAAATCATCTTTTGTAGATGAATTGGCTGTTGTCTTGGAGTCTCTCTGCAGGCGGATGCCGCGGCTTGAGACAGAGCATCTAAATCTGGTGAGTTTGGAAAATTAAACTTGTCAAGATTTAAAATTATTTATAATCATATAATACTGTAATTATACAATATCTTTGATTTTTTCAAAATCTCAATAGGATGACAAGCTTGATTTAAGCAACTCTAATATCAAGGCTCAAGAAAAATTGCAGCATGTTCTATTAGCGATAAAGATTTACGAGGCTCTCATATCCTTTAGAATCGGCGCCTGGTCCGCAAACTGTACAGATACCGCGCAAAGTGTTAAAAATCTGTTCAAAGGCTATACAAGATTAGTTGAATTTACTAAGGTAATGAAATTGCATGTTATATATTTATAATCAATGTATAAACCTTCCCGTCAATTCCGCAGCACGTACCAAAGGCTAAAAGGGGAGAAGGCAAAAATAAAAAGACGCAAAACGACCCGAACAACACGACTGTAAAGAAAGCCGGCCGGCCGGGTAGCATAAAACTACCGCCCAGCATCGTGGATCTGTTCACGGTGCACAAAAGTCTGTCGCTCTTCTACTTGAAATCCGTTCCCTGGGCAACGGCGGACCAAGTGGCTGTGTTAATAGACAACCACGATTTCTACCATTACATCCTGCGAACGCTGTTGCAAATTTTGCAAAATGTCAAACTGTTAACGGAATACAATTTGCGAAAGCATAAGGAGCAACATATGAGGATCTACTTCGAAATTGGAAAGTAAGAGACATCTGTAAAAACCATGATGTTAGAAAGCGCTCCGATATCTTGAGCGGTGAAAGAGCTGATCAATCGATATTGATCGATATTCATTAATTGGCCGAATTGTTCGAATGTGATCTGTAATTCTTTCTCCGTCCGAGATCTCGGAGCGATTTCTAGCATCGTGGATCTTCAAGCCACAAGGCTTGAAAGTATGATCCACCGTTGCTGCAGGTCTCTCAAATTCTTTCTTTTTTTTCTGCCAGATTATTGTACGATCACGTTGTGCTGGATTTAAACAAAGTCCTCGAGACGGACGAACAAGGGACTATATTAGCATTGGAATGTTTCAAGGAATTATGTTACTCGATGTGCACCTACTTCTCTTCCGAATTGTCGCACTTTCTCAACGTTATTGTTCGTAAGTATTAAAATATTATATAAAATATTAGATTAATGTATGTAAAGTGTGTGCTCCTATCGTGTGTAATATTCTTTTTGCAGCTAATAAGCCAACTCAAGCGGAAAATAATCTTAATACACAATTGGAGAACGTGACTGCTGCTCTGCGTGCGAGCTTCAGGACGTTCTTCAGCGAGAAGGAGGAACATGAGGAGAATTCCAAACAGATACTCTGCATATTATTGGACATCATATATCAGCTGACGCAAGAGATCAACTTTTATGAAACGAACGGCGATGAAGTCAGTATATTTTCGTAATTGTTTTTATTAAATGAAAATAGAGGACGTAACGAAGTGTTATTGAAAAAATCTTTTACACAAGGTATTTGATTCGATGATGAAATTCACACAATTGGAAAATATGGATCCCCAAGCTTCTTTAACCATTTTCCAAATTCTGTTATGGATAGAAGAGCGTAATAAGGAGTATGGAGAGTTGTTAATCGATATCGCTTTTGCATTGTGCGAGAAAATGGGTAACATCGACAAGGTATATATAAATATATAATGTATAATGCGTACTGCCAGTCAAAAGTTTGAGATCATTAATTGAAAATGTACTATAGAAATAAAATGAAATGTATGTATTTATTTTTTTATAATTAAATGAAAAATAATATAAAATTGCTCCAAAGTTCTACAAAAAATATTTTTTACGAGATGAAAAGCACCAAAAAGAATATTAGATATTTTTCGTCAAAGTAGCCGTCTTTATATTTAATTATTATTTTTCCTAAATTAACAAGCAATTTAATAAGTTTATTTTTTTCTGACAAGACTTTTTCTCTTAAATTTTTAAAATGCAGTTTTGAAAAAAAAGTTGATGCCTATAATCCATTTTCTTAAAATTAAACAATGTTATGTTAATCAAAATTGTGCTACTTACAAAGCCTATTTATTTTCATATTAAGAAAAAATTTTGAATAAAGCATGAATCGGTAATATATATTTTTTTTAGTAGAATTTGTGGAATATTCTTAAATTTTATATGATGTCAAACTTTTAGTCGGCAATGTAAAGATATTCTATTGTAACATTTATCTTATTGTTACATAAGAATGTAAAGAGAAAGATTTCTTGCGTTCAATATGTATATTATTTTTTATTTATTAGGCTGAGCTATCGGAAAATGATAAATTCAAAATTATTCACGAGGATACGGCGGATAAGCTTTACAATTTGGTAAATAGCTTGGTAAAGGAAAAATTGGACAATGTATCTTGGTTGCTGGTGCGACTCAAAGCCGAGCAAAATATCGTTTGCCCGCCTGGCACGGATCGCGAGGAACGTATGTATAATTTCATATTCGTATTAAACTTTTTTGTACTTATTTTATTGTAGTAATATCTTAAAATCCCTGAACAACGCAGATCAAGAAAAAGTGAGAACGCAAGAACGCAGTTTGTGCAGACAGTTGTCGCACATTATACAGATACTTTATACATTAGCCAACGTTGCTATCAAACCAGGATCGTCCACGGATATTATGTTTAGAAATTTGCAAGTCTTGTACAACCTACTTAGCAATCTTACAAAATATTTCTATGGAAAGTCGAGCAAGCAAAATGCAGCGTTTCAATCAGTGAAGTAAGTCTTTTTCATAATTTATTTTAATTTTACTAGATAAATTTCTATTTTTATTCTTTCCTACAAAATATCAATTTCTTTCATATGATTTCAGATTTATTCAAGTGATTCAATCGGCTGGGAAACCATTAAAGTCTGCGTTTTATAATTTAATAACGCATACTGAGGTATTCAGTCTAAAATATATATGATTGTAATTTGTTACTTGTATAAATACTAATACATGTTCACATTACATAGGAAAGTCAAAATGCATCAAGGTCGAAAGTTGATTCGCACCTGCAAAGGAACAAGATTTTGAAAGAAACCAGAATTATACCCCGTGTGGTATGCGAAATTGAGCAATTTCACAAGGAGGTGTTGGCGCTCGATAAGAAGACCGGTGTAAGTAAATTTAAGAAATTGATATTTACTATTTGAGAAAAAGAAGAGAAAAATTTTTGTACGAATAGAAGCAACTACGATATGTGTATTTATTCAGGTTCCACTTGAAACTTACATAAAACACAGTATAACGCGAGATTTCCGTATAAAAAACACGCAGTTAGCAGAAGCGCTGGAGAAGATGGATATAAGCTTGGTAAAAGATTTGAAAAATTACTGTTTACAAGTTCACATTTCTTAATCTTAATACTTATCGTTCTACCTTTAACAGCTGGATACACAGAATTCTCGTCACAGTAACGATGCGTCCAATGAAAATATAAATCTGTCTATCGAATCGTCTACAGAAACATCGTCATCAAAGCGTAAGAATGAAGCCTCGAGGTCCTCGAAATCGTCTATGGATGAATCCCCGCCTCCAAAACGCTCTAGAAGATCGTCAGAATCATAAGTGCCTTATGGCTGGTATCCTCGCTTTTCCATTTCGATATGAAATAGTTTAGTTCCACATTTCTTTACTGTAGTTTTTTTTTTTTATACAAATGAAGTTATATCACGAACTGAATGTAAAGAACACACGTTTATTAAATATTCTGATAATGTTGCATCGAAGTATATAATGAACTAAATAAAACTATAATTTGCTATAATTATCTCATTAATTCGCTTAGTCTTAGACTTGGTTTTATTATATTTTTTTAAATATGTTTTCATGCATCTTGTAACGCAGATCCGTAATACAGATTTAATGCTATTCGACGACGTACTTGTGCCACTTGAAATTGTACTAGAGGTCGATTACGCGACGAAGTCCAGAGGCCTGTTGAATCCGCCCTTTCTGTTCATGTACTGCCTGTATTTCCTCTTCAAGATGACATGGACCGCGCCCATGTCGTTCCCCTCCACTTTCTTGCCCTTAGTGGTATCGAAATCACAGAATCCCATTATTCTCATCATCTCCTGCTCCTCGGGCGTCTTGCCCTGAAGATCCGCTTCTGCGATACAACAGCACGGTTAATTTCTCTAAAACTATTGCATCTTTCTTCTGTCAACGACATCAATTTTTTTCGAATTCGCGATAATACAAAAAACGTTTTGGTTTTTTCTTTCATGACTACAGTGAAGGGAATCTTGATGCACACACCTGTAATAACGGGGCGTTCATTTGTCGAAGGTTTCGGCTTCGCTCTGTTCGCTCTGTCGCGTTCCCGCGATCTGGATCTACTGTACGACCTTCTGTGTCTGTCTCGCTCACGTTCCCGTTCCCTGTCTCTCGACTTCACCCTGTCTCGTTCTGCGGATCTACAGAGACAGGAAGGTTTCAATGTTTATGAATGTCAAGAAGGGACGTTAACAAATAAAGCAAGAGGAAATTATTTTGCCAGCTGTACCTTCGCCTCCTCTCTCGCGATCGTCTCCTCCGTCGATCTCTGTCGCGATCTCGTTCTCGCGATCGATCTCTCCGTCTTCCTGGCGATGGTGTGCGACTTCGTCCCATTCTATATAAGTATACACAGATACATAATTAGAACTATGTTTTCAATGCTTGAAATGATTGAAATTAATTTAGAGATATAAGAATTTAGAAGTAGACTGCATAATATTACGAAAATTTGGAGAACAAGCAAGATTTTAAGATTTTGTTCTCGACATCTGAAAGGATTTCGCAGTTGTATGTACATTATAAATTTTTGTTGCACGAAATTTACATGTAAAAGGAAACTATGATTTTCAAATAACAGAAGACGAAAATTACATCTTTCATTGGTTGATACTCACGGTGATTTTTATATTTTCGTTTAATTAAATAAAACTAAATAAAAACTCTCACACTCTCGTATTAATTTCTAAAATAACATTTTCGCGCAACATATAGGTTATATTCGTCAGATACTTACGCCGCTTACGCGTCACTGGATAAAGTCGTAGCGACGGCTGTCGCTTGCAACGATTATATTATGTCGGTAGCGTCGGTGTGCAGATTGCAGAATAACGTTCCTCCTTTTTGTCCCGATCGTGCGATAATAGCATAATTGTCAATAATAATATAAATGTTAATACAAATATAAGATATTAATTCTCGAGAATTGCTCACATTCTCGCCCGTCGGCAATTTTCGTCTTTGATCGTTAATTATTATATAACAATATAATGTTCTAGAATATTTTATTAATTGTTAAAGTCTTCTCGAAGAAAGCATATACTTTCGCATTAAAGGACATGAAATTGTTATTGTATAAAGACATTTCTGGACAAATCACCGAGCCTACTGTTTCCCGTCGGCATTTGGATGCGACGGGAAACATATATATAGGCGAGGCGCGTTGATTTGCCTTTATACAGTAAAAATTTCACGTCTCTCGTTAATCATTATGCAACAATAATGTTCTAGAATATTTTATTGTTAAGTAGGTCTCGAGAAAGCATGCTTTGCATTAAAGGACACATGAAATAATTACTATACTGATGTATACAAACTTTTCTCGAAAAATCACGCCTGCCGTCGGCGACTGTCTCCCGTCGGGATTGGAGCTTGATCTTCTTTCTCGTTGATTATCGATGCAGCGATTAATATTTTAAATCATTTTATCGTTTAATTCTTCTCAAGAGTCAGTTATCTTGAGAAGAATTCAACGATAAAATGATTTGGAATATTGTTGCATGATGATAATCAACGAGAAAGAGGAAGCTCCAAATGCCGACGGGAGACAGTCGCCGACGGCAGGCGTGATTTTTCGACGAAAAGCTTATATACATCAGTATAGTAATTTCACGTGTCCTTTAATGCGAAGCATGCTTTCTCGAGACCTACTTAACAATAAATTAATATTCTAGAACATTATTGTTACATATAATAATTAACGAAAGACGAAAATTCCAACTGCCATCGGGCGTATGAGAGTGTGAATATAATCGACGTTATTGCCAATGCCATAAGTTACCGCGCGTCTTATACGTAAATTATTTGTTAATTTGGAGATTTTAATGTTACATAATTATAATTAAATAATCGTTTGAATTTAATTACACATCCTTGGAGATGCACAAAGGATCATAAATATTATTAAAAATACATATTGAGATGAGAGGTTAAGCAAAAAAGCCGACTTTCGCAGCGTCAGAAACTTCGTTTAAATCGAATAAAGTATCAGGAGCGCACGTTAACAAGTAGGTGGCAGAGGTATTCGGGGCGGAGGCCGCCAGCGCGCCATGAAGGGGGAGCCTACTGCCCCCACCAACGCATATATGCTACTTTTGCGCCTAGAGGCGGGGCTTACGCGCCGTATGAGAGTGGGAGTAGTCTTGGCTATGCTTTGGGATTCCGGGCCTCTTCGTTTAACAGCTTTCCGCTTTACCGACAAGCCCCTGTCGATACGCGCGCTGGCTAGGATTCCGTGCCACCTCTTCGCTCAACATGTTCTCCGCGTATCGGCGGGAGTTTTCGAGCCTCTATCGAGGCGCGCTGGCTAGGATTAGTATAGGATTCCGTGCCACTTCTTCGCTCAACGTGTTCTCCGCGTATCGGCGGGAGTTTTCGAGCTTCTGACGAGGCCCGCTGTCAAGGATTCCGTGCCTCTTCGCTCAGTAGTTTTCCGTTTTATCGACAAGCCCCTGTCGATACGCGCGCTGGCTAGGATTCCGTGCCACTTCTTCGCTCAACATGTTCTCCGCGTATTGGCGGGAGTTTTCGAGCCTCTAACGAAGCGCGCTGGCTAGGATTCTTTGCCACCTTTGACATATATTTTTCACGTATCGGTGAGAGTTTTCGAGCTGTTATCGTACCGCATCGACAGCTGTCGCTAAGCATGCACAGAACAGTAAAGTCCCTAAATCTAGTGACTTTAACAGAACAGGGCTCCTGCTATCACGAATTCTCGTGATAGATGTGTCGTTGTTTGAGCTGTTTCCAGCCACCATCGATTTCGTATATAACAATGACGTCAAATAATTAACTCTTATCTAAACATTGCGTAAATTCAACTTGGCACGTGAATTCGGCCTTTAAAGGCCTTCTTCGAGGAAATCGAGGTTTGTTTCGCTATCGCTCAATATACATGTGCTACAGACATTTTGAGAATATCCCTGCCGTGGCTGTCATATTGCTTATCGTCGCAAAAATTTGTTTTGTCTGCTAGATAACTTTAATGTGTGGAAACAATTGCGTGTAAATAGAGATCGTTAATCCTTTTGATCGTAACGATTGATGAAGATCAATTGTTTCCACACGTTCCCCTCCGCTCCAATTTTGTCAATTTCTATTTTCCAAATTGTTTATTCAGAAAATAAAATCCTGAAATGGCCGCGGCCGCTCCTTTGATCTTGGCGGAGGACGATGTTGAACGGGGTGGCAAGGAGCAGTCCGATCACGAGATACAGGATGACTTTGCGTACAGGAACAACGTCCACAATGCGGACATCAAGATACGAATGGGTAATTGTGCAGCGTTACAGAAATTCCAAATTATACATATATATGCCATATGTTTATAGAACGACAATAATGTATTCATGATATTTATAAGACACTTATGAAATATTCGACGTTGCGGTGTAGTCTAATTTTATAGTAATGTATGAATCTCACATTACTCAACATGCATGTTCTAATTACGAATTAATTTGTTGAATTTGCGCAGGCTTCTTACGGAAAGTTTATGGTTTACTGAGCATTCAGATCCTTATGACGGTCGCGCTAGCTTCGGTGTTTGTGGTCAGTTCAACTGTGAAGTTATTCGTGCAAGATAAGTAAGACAGTCTCCTTGACAAATATACAAATATTCAGGCCGTATTTTGATATACACTTATTAGTATTGAAAATCTGTAGCTCACATTAGGTATGTTAGATTTCCAGTACTGACAATATATATATCAGAATACAGTCTCAATTCTCACTATTAGCTAACAAAATGTTAATAATTAATTTGTCATCTAGTGTCTGGACCATGGGTTTAGCGTTTATCTTGACAATGGTGTTCTTAATTGCTCTGATGATAAAAAGGCGGGATCATCCCGCCAATCTGATTCTTCTAAGCGCATTTGTAAGTACGAAAAGTGAAGTGGTTATATTATATTATCAATTCTGTCGTATGTGATATTTACAAGAAATTGCCTCGAAAATTTCAGACGCTGGTGCAGGCGTATACTGTTGGAGTTGTGGTGTCCATGTATGACACCACAGTGGTCCTGGAAGCTCTGTTCATAACACTGACGGTTCTGCTCGGTTTGACGGCTTACACCTTCCAGACCAAGCGAGACTTCTCGTTTCTAGGATTCGGGTGAGTGTCTTAAACTAGTATTCCATTACGACAAGGGAGAATGTTAAATGTTTGGCTGTATTTTGGTTAACATGACGAAGCTCCGATATGCGCAACTTATATATCATATTAATGGGACTCAAGCGGAGTCTAGTCAAAAGATATTGCTTATCTCGGGGAAACATCGAGAATGTAGGAGAAATCAAATAATAATGCTGTCACGCCTGCATTTATTGTCGAAAAACAGCTAAATTTAACATCTTCCCTTTTTTTTTTAAGCTCGTTGATTGATAATAGGGTAGAGAAGTTATGGATATTCGAGAATTTCTCTACCCTGCAGTGAGTTAACACGAAATAAAAAAATCATCAAAAAATTTTTACGACAAACGTATAATATCATCATTCACCCTTCTCTTCGTTTTGCAGATTGTTCATTGGACTCTGGTGCCTCATTCTCGGGGGTATGATGCAGATCTTCATCCAGAGCTCCGCCCTGGAATTGGTCATAAGCATCGGAGGCGCACTGCTGTTCTGCCTGTTCATAGTTTTCGACACGCAGCTTATAATGCACACGCTCTCGCCCGAGGAGTACATCCTGGCGACGATTAACATCTATCTGGATATAATCAATTTGTTCTTACATATATTACGTGTGCTTGCTCTCTCGAGGAAGTGAACAGTATTACTTTCGAGCGAAATGTCAGAGAAGCGCGAGAGAGAAGCAGGATATTCTATAAATCTTTCATCTTGTAATATATATGATATGTACGCGAAGTCCAGATGATAAGCTTATATTTTTTATTCAAGTACTTCTAGCTCTTGAAATATAATTTAAGGTGCTGTTTTTAGTGTTGGACATAAGGAATTATCTGTGAATGAAAAAAAAAAAAAGATAAATCTGAGAGTTCTGTTTTTCATATTTTATTGTGACAAACGCAAAATATATCAAAATTATGACGTTTCCATGGCGGCCGTAACATCTTCTGTATATTTGCCCTTGTCCTTACCCAGCGCAGCCAGTCTGCCCTTACTTCGCCTATCGATAATCTTTTTACGGTCCTTGTCCATCTTTAACTTAACGATAACCGTCTGAAACGACAATAATGGCAAAATTTAAATGAGAGTGCAAAGGAATTTGCGAGATCGCGGGAGAAACGTAACGGTATGATCAGTGCCAATATTTCTGCATCAATTAGACCGAGCGAGACTCGTCAACGAATATGCAGGAAAACCCTGCACAAAGTTTCAAAGTCTAGCCACTTGTCTAATCTATGTGAATGGATTTGGTTTAATTCATCATGAGAAACAACGAAAGATTTTGATACATATATAACATATATAAGTAATTGCAGTACGTGTCACATTATTATTACCTTAGAGGGGTCAATGCCGACATAGACATTGGCGCTGTTCGCCTTCTCGCGTTGAATTCGTTCAATGTATATGACGAACTTTTTCCTATACACTTGGACGACTTTTCCTACTTGTTGACCCTTGTAGTGGCCACGTACTACCTTTAAGAAGATCGCAGATATTATTCTTGGGTTTCACATTGTCCAGGAATTTGTAATTGTGGAATATTGATTTGACGTATATCAGCATTCATGCCTATTATCCTTTTTAACCTCTATCTATAACAGATATAGCAAGTCTAGTCTTTTGCTTCATGTTGTGAATTATGACATTTCTCTTTCTGGCGTTGTCTTAAGCCATAATTAATTAATCCCTAAATTTTAAGTGAGTTGGCCAAATTTCAACTGTAAAAAGTTCAGAATCTGGAGCAAATTAACGTCACAGCTCAGAGCTTAGAGCAGAAGACTAAAAGCTTACTATAATATCTATAGGCTGGAATTTAATGGATATAAAAAAAGGGCAATAAGCGTAAAGCTCAGCAAATATCAAGTCAATGCTCGGAATTACATATTTTGGACAGTACTCTGGTTTAACTCCTACTTAAAATTTCTTCGAAACATAAACTCAACATTTTTATCACAAAAATAGAGCAGTCTATATTCTATACGTTGCCAATATGTTTACATACCAAGTAAATTTGACTCGAAATCTATATATTTATAAATTTATAATTTTATTATTTATATAACCTATTACATTGTATAACCTATATATTTAAAATTTTATTATATAAATAATAAAAACGGCAGTATTTATATAAGTAATGTACATTTACGCACATACTTTAGTATTAGTATTAAAATACCTTAATATACAGTGATATTATCGTGAGTACAATCAATTAAAACATCCAATCGCAGGTTAAATTTTGGAGCTAACCGACTCACCTGTACTTCGTCGTCCTTGCGGATCGGCATCGACCGCACATTGTACTTTTGTCGCAATTCCTTGGACAGCGGCGCGGACATGAGCCGCCGTCTGATGTGAGAAGGCGCTGTGAAGTGCCTCTTTCTGTTCTTCCTGCGCGAGGAGGATACCAGATGATTGTACTTCATCCTCGTGGACTCTGCAACGAGAAGATTTGATCGTGGTTGCAAAACGGTTGCCGATATCGGCTTTAAAATCTGTGCGCGGAGAGCCGCGACCTCGGTGGCGATTGTGTATCCACGAGGCTCGAATGGGAGCAGAGTCGCTTCGCGACGTGGATGTCAGGTTATCCGACGGTGCAACGTGCCGAGGTCGACGCGACGTTTCGTACGCGCGGAAAATACGGACGGCATGCGTGAATGGCGAATTTACGAATTCTCGTTTACGCAAGATATCGTACGGCTTGCCTCCGTTTCAGCTAGATTCCGCGCGATTAATATCCACCCAACTCACCGACAACAGTTCAACGCGACGGCCCCAACCGGAAGAATAACACTAGACGAAACGCGGTGAGATGCGCGCGCCGCACGGATGCCGCAACGCGCGCGGCAGTGGACGACGCGGCGCCAATCGCTTCCGGAAATTGATTGGTCACCGAGCGAGTTTATTCCCTAGCGTTGCCGCATTGGACTAGAGTCCTAGATTATCAGAGAAGCGCGACCGGCTTATGGCAGTATCGCAAAAGTACTAGAAAATATTAAAAATGGCGTCAAATGGCCAATCATAAGTTTGATTTATTCGGCAGCCATTTATAATAGCGATAAATCAATCTTATGATTGGCCATTTGCGTGTCCAATCAGGACTCGTAACACCGGTCGCGCTTCTCTGATAATCTAGGACTCTACATTGGACTGGCGTCAGAGAGAACCAAAAACTTCGCCTGGGTTTATCTAGATCAATCTAGATGTCATTTTTTCTTGTAACAATATATATTTATGTCATGTTGCCATGGAAACTAGAAGTGTAAACATTGTTCTGTCATAAGTTAATTCCACTTTTCACGTGAAAGGTGCTCGCACGTTTGCTATTTAATATATCGGGATCCTGAAATCCAAAGGCAACTATGAAGAAGAACAGTCGAATGCAGTCGAATGACAGATGTAGCAGTAGAATGTAATTGGTTCTAACCTTCAAATCTAATCACATTCAGTTGCTATTTATATTCATTTTTATACCAATGCAGATTTAACTTTAATCTCAATTTAATTTATTCCTTATATTTTTCTAATTCTTGAAACTAAGAAAAAGCTAAAAAGTAATTAAGTTAAACCAATATTGAAGTTAATCACATTTATATTGATTAATTAAGTAATTGCTTTGTTTGTAGCGCGCTCTAGGATGATCGATATCCTCTCAAGCGTCAACAGCTCGGTAGATTGTAGAAAGTGTTGACTTAATTAATGTGCCTTTTTTATGCATAGAAAAATGATGTCTAAATCACGGAGTGATGAACCGGTGAGCGCCACGACTCAAAATCAACAAACAAACGAAGCAAATGATTTGCCATTCAATGAAGAACAAAAAATCGTGGACCCATTAACTGCAGACCCATTGGAATCCAAACAAGGCATACTTGTAAAAGAGGAGCAGTCAAATGACAGATGTAGCAGTAAAAGGTAATTGGTTCTAACTTTCAAATCTAATCACATTCAGTTGCTATTTATATACCATTTTTATACCAATGTAGATTTAACTTTAATCTCGATTTAATTTATTTCTTCCTTTTTTTCTAATTCTTGAAACTAGAAAAAGATAAA